TGATAAGGGGTCAATATCCAAAAGTTATAAAGAATCCATTCAGCCGAGACCGGTTTGGCTCAGTGGATTGTTGGGAGCCGAGTCCCCTGCCGACCTGAGAATCAGGGGATGGAGAATCAGGGGACTCACCCAGGAGTTGGGTCACTTGGGGACGTGGCAAGCAACAGTGTCCTTCGTTCTGCTGTGCGTGCAAAATTGGAATCTGCAAACATGTCCTTGAATTAACATAGCAGAGTACAGCTGGATGAACTTTCCCAGGCAGCTATCTCCCTGTGTAGGTCTTAAGGAACTGGCACGTAGCCACCATGCCCTGGGAGAAGGCCATTTGGAGGAATGCCCAGCTTCAGGGTATAAAAGAGTTTGCGCCTTTAATAAACTTGCTGCAGTGCCATCGAGCATTCCAGCCTTCCCTAACCCCCTGCTGTTCCTGTCTTTTTCTTTTTTCTTTTCTTTCTTTTCCTGAGCCTCCTAGCCCGATCTTCAGGACCTGCAGTACCGGCTGGATCCGGTAGTGGATAGAGCGTCGGCCTGCGGACTGAAAGATCCCGGGTTCGATTCCAGTCAAGGGCATGTACCTTGGTTGCGGGCACATCCCCAGTGGGGTGATGCAAGAGGCAGCTGATCGATGATTCTCTCTCATCGATGTTTCTAACTCTCTATCCCTTTCTCTTCCTCTCTGTAAAAAATCAATAAAATAAAAAAAAGAAGCTTAAAAAAAAAAAAAAGAATCCATTCATCTCAATACCAAGAAAACAAACAATCCAATTAAAAATTAGCAAAGGGCCAAAATTGATTTGGCTCAGTGGATAGAGCGTCGGCCTGTGGACTGAAAGGTCCCAGGTTCGATTCCAGTCAAGGGCATGTACCTTGGTTGCAGGCACATCCCCAGTAGGGGATGTGCAAGAGGCAGCTGATCAATGTTTCTCTCTCATCGATGTTTCTAACTCTCTGTCCCTCTCTCTTCCTCTCTGTAAAAGAATCAATTAATATATATATATTACACCCCCTCCCCCTCACCAAGCCTGGGGTTTTACTCCTGTGGTGATGTCATTGTTTTGGCTGACCCTGATTGGGCTAGGGTCCAGTTACACAAAATAGAGGATAACTCCACCCTGCCCCACAGTGCAATAAAATATATTTAAAAAAAATAAAAAAATAAAAATGAGCAAAGGACCTGAATAGACACTTCTCCAAAGAGGACATACAGATGGTGAATAGACATATGAAAAGATGCTCAATGTCAATAATCATCAGAGAAATACAAATTAAAACCATAATGAGCCCTGACTGGTTTGGCTCAGTGGATAGAGCAGCAGCCTGCGGACTGAAGGGTCCCAGGTTTGGTTCCAGTCAAGGGCATGTACGTTGTTTGAGGGCACATCCCCAGTGGTGGGTGAGCAGGAGGTAGCTAATTGATGTTTCTAACTCTCTATCCTTCTGTTTTCCTCTCTATAAAAATCAATGAAATATATATTTAAAAAAACAATGAGATATCACCTCACACCTATCAAAATGGCTACCATCAATAAATCAACAAATAACAAGTATTGGCGAGGATATGGAGAAAAGGGAGCCCTCATGCACTGTTAGTAGGAATACAGATGGTGCAGCCACTGTGGAGAACAGTATGAAGGTTTCTCAAAGAATTAAAAACGGAACTGTCTTTTGACCTGGTGATCCCACTTCTAGGAATATATCCTAAGAATCCTGAAACACTAATTTGAAAGAATATATGCACCCTTATGTTCCTTGCAGCATTATTTACAACAGCCAAGACCTGGAAACAGCCCAAATGCCCATTAGCAGATGAGTGGATTAAAAAAGCTGTGGTAGCTGAAACCGGTTTGGCTCAGTGGACAGAGCGTCGGTCTGTGGACTGAAAGGTCCCAGGTTCGATTCCGGTCAAGGGCATTTACATTAGTTGTGGGCACATTCCTGGTAGGGGATGTGCAGGAGGAAGCTGGTCGATGATTCTCTCTCATCGATGTTTCTAGCTATCTATCCCTCTCCCTTCCTCTCTGTGAAAAATCAATAAAATATATTTTTTAAAAAAGCAGTGGTACATTTACACAACGGAATACTACTTAGCCATAAAACAGAAGGGAATCTTACTTTTTGCGACAGCATGGATGGACCTAAAGATTATTATGCTGAGTGAAATAAGCCAGTCAGAGAAAGACAAATACCACATGATCTCACTTATATGTGGAACCTAATGAACAAAATAAAAACAGAGGCGTGGATACATGGAACAGACTGGTTAGAGTGTCATTCCAATATACCATGGTTGCGGGTTTGATCCCTAATTAGGGCACATATAAGAAGCAACTGATGATTGCATAAATAAGTGGAACAATAAATCTCTCCCTTCCTCTCTCTCTCTCTCTCTCTCTCTCTCTCTCTCTCTCTCTTATCGATTTTTAAAAAAGTATATGGGCAGCAACCTGGATGGAATTGGAGAACATCATGCTGAGTGAAATAAGCCAGTCAATGAAAGAGAAACACCACATGACCTCACTTATTTATGGATGATAAAGAACATTATAAACTGATGAACCAAAAGATAGATATAGAGACAGTAAAGCAACAAGCAGACTGTCAAATTACAGCGGGGAGGGTAGGAAGATCTGGAGGAGATAAGAGATCAACTGAAAAACTTGTATACATGCATATAAGTACAACCAATGGATACAAAACTCTGGGGAAGGAGGGTATGTATAGGGGGGGGGCAATGGTAACATATGTACACAGATAATAATTTAATAATAAAAAAATAAAAAAAAGTATATGGTTATCTAACCACTATACTGTATACATGAAACTAATACAAAATAATGTTAAATGTAAAAAATATATGTACTTTTGATTAGATGAAAAAAAAGCTACACATTGCTTAGAATTGTCTGAGAGGGCAGGGCAGGGCAGGGCGGGGCTAACTCCTGACTCCATTTTGTACTGTGGGGCAGGGAGGAGCTATCCTTCATTTTGTAACTGGACCCTAGCCCTCACCCAACCAATCAGGGTCAGCCAAAGCAGTGACATCACCCCCCCTATAAAGCCCCTTGACCTGTTGAAGCCCTCACTCTTCTGCCAAGCTGCTGGCGTAAGTGGGACAAAGCCCATGCTAGCATGGACGAGGCTCTTTTGTTTATTGCATTGGACTCGGCTCCCTGGTGGTCCTTAGGGATCATGAAATCTGGGTGTAACATGTCCAAATTACACTCATTGTAATCTAATTAAAAGTAAATAAAAAAATGTAAAGGATACAATTAATAAAGGTTTTAATAAATCAGTACCTGAACACTGGCCAGGTAGCTCAGCTGGTTAAAGCATTGTCCTGATACACCAAGGTTTAATCCCTGGACAGGCCACATACAAGAATCAACCAATGAATGCCTACATAAGTGGAACAAGTCAATCTCTCAATCTCTCTTTTTCTCAACTCAGTAAATAAATTTTAAAGTTTTTAATTAAAAAAATCAGTACCAGGATTCACGTCTCAGATTTCTCACTTTGTTTTTAAAATTCTAATCTTGAATCTTTAGCGATTCTGATGGCAAAGATCCTTCCTATTCTCCCAGTGCCCCTATCTTAGAATCAAATTCTCTGGCCCCAAAAGGCTGCCTTTCCAGGCCAGTTTGGCATCAAACTGTCTCCAGGCCATTCCCCTCCACTCTGGCAGATTCTGCTTCCATCCTGGGTCTATTTAATCCTCATCTGAGGCTACTTTCCCCCATGGAATTTTAGACAGATTGGAAGGGAGAGGAGAGACGCAGAAAGAGAAACATCATTGTGAGAGCGACACATGGATTGGTTGCCTCCCACATGTGACCGACCTGGGCTGGGGATTGAGCCTACAAACGAGGTATATGTCTTTGAAAGGAATCGAACCCGGGATCCTTCAGTCCGGGGCCGACACTCCAAACCAGCCAGGGCTATTCTCCTTGTATGGTCCAATCGTTGGACGGTCCCAAAATTTAAAAACATGTTTCCAACCATCTTTTAGCTGTGTGGTTCGGGCAAGCCACCTAATCTCTGGAAGACTTCACCTGTAAAATGAAGATGACACCAGCTTCACCGGGTTATTGTGAGGGTGAAAGGATGACACGTGTGAAGAGTGCCTGGCACATCACAGCTCCTCACAATAAGGGGGTCCCTCTCCCTCCCCTGAGCCCTTGAGGGCATATTATCGTTGGGCACACAACAAGCACTCAGGGGAGGTCTGTGATTTGATATCCAAGCTACTCCCAGCAACACTCAGCCCTCAGACGGGAGAGGAGCTGCCCGTTTTAGTGCATTGCTGCCTACCTTGTGCTTGCTGGGATTGCAGTCACCATCTCCTCAGTGCGCAGCAGCAGCAGGTGCTTGTCTTTGGCCAGGTGCATGCATGGGATACATTCCTGGCTGCTCCTTTTTCCTGAGCTTGGTGTGTGTGTGTGTGTGTGTGTGTGTGTGTGTGTGTGTGTGTGTGTGTAAAACTTAATCCCCGTGAGACTCAGTGTCTGGCCTCATCCTGGACTCGCTGATTGGCTGTCTCAGCTGTCCCTCCCCCTCCCTCCCCAGCATAGCATCCCAGGTGGCCCAGGCCCCGCGGGGCTCTCTGTTTACCGAGAGCCTGTTCAGGCGGGATCCATCTCCGCACTCCTCCCCTCGGCACCTCTGTACCCCCCGCCTCCGCCCGCCTCAGAAGCCGGAAGAAAGCAGACCGAGCCATTCTGCGCCCTGTCCCCCATCACCCGGAGGGGTCGGGTAAGGAGGAGGGGGTGTGGGGGAAGGGTGAGTTCCAGGGCTATCCCCTGCCACCTGTTCGTTCGGGTATCTCGCCGACCCAGGAATTGCATCCCTAAGCCCAACCCTCGCCCCCTCTGCCCCTCCCTGTCGTGCTCCGGGTATCCCACCTTCTCTCCCACCCAAGCAGCCAGGAGCTGGATCGCAGGTCCCTGGAGGAAGCACAGGCTTGGAGACTTCACTCCACGTGTTCCTTTCCCCCCCAGACGGTGATGACCCCCAGGCCCGCCGGAGCATTGGCCGGCAGCCCCGACGGGGGCTGGGGCTGGGTGGTGGCCGGCTCGGCCTTCCTGGTGAACGGGCTCTCCTACGGGCTGCTGCGGTCCCTGGGCCTCGCCCTCCCGGACATCGCCGAGCACTTCGGCCGAACCTCCCAGGACACGGCGTGGGTCAGCGCCCTGGCCCTGGCCGTGCAGCAGGCGGCCAGTGAGGCCCGCACCCCGAGGCGGGGGCGGGAGCCGGGGTGGGGGGGCCCTGAGGTTGTGGGGTACCCCCTGCTCCAGATAACCTGAGGAAGGGCGGCAGGTGGCTCCGGGTTCCAGAGCCGAGCGGGTGGAAGTTCAGAGGGAGGAGCTAGCAGGCTGGGGGCGGAACGTCACCCGGCAAACAGCCAATGAGAAGGGCTGGATTGAGGGTTGGGGCGTGTTTTCCCTTGACCCCGCCCCCTTCCAGGTCCGGTGGGCAGCGCCCTAAGCACCCGCTGGGGGGCGCGCCCCGTGGTGATGATTGGGGGCGTCCTCACCTCGCTCGGCTTCCTCTTCTCGGCTTTCGCGGGAAGCCTGCTGCACCTCTATCTCGGCCTGGGCGTCCTCGCCGGTGAGGGGGATTATACCTGGGTCCCTCAGGGGTGGTGGGGGAGACAGGAGCGTGTGGGGGGCTGGAGGCCAGCTGTGCGGCAATGGTGGTGAGTGTCCTTCCACATCCCAGGCCCCTGTCCTCATCCAGTCTTTTTCCTTTCAAACATTTAAGTGACTTTATTTTTTAAAATATATATATTTTATTGATTTTTTACAGAGAGGAAGGGAGAGGGATAGAGAGTTAGAAACATTGATGAGAGAGAAACATGGATCAGCAGCCTCCTGCACACCCCCCATTGGGGATGTGCCCGCAACCAAGGTCCATGCCCTTGACTGGAATCAAACCTGGACCCTTCAGTCTGCAGGCCGACGCTCTATCCACTGAGCCAAACAGATTTCAGCATGACTTTATTATTTATTTATTTATTTTTAAAATATATTTGATTGGTTTTTCACAGATAGGAAGAGAGAGGGATAGAGAGTTAGAAACATCAATCAGCTGCCTCTTACACACCCTCCACTGGGGATGTGCCCGCAACCAAGGTACATACCCTTGATCGGAATCGAACCCGGGACCTTTCAGTCCGAAGGCCAACGCTCTATCCACTGAGCCAAACCGGTTTGGGCAAGTGACTTTATTTTTTAACAAAACATGGCTAACATACATCATATTGGTCTCAGACATACAGCACAGCGGATCCAGCATTTGCATATCTAACGGTTCGTTTGTCCGCAGGCTCCGGCTGGGCCCTGGCGTTCGCCCCGGCCCTGGGCACCCTCTCCCGCTACTTCTCCCGCCGGCGGGTCCTGGCCGTGGGGCTGGCGCTGACGGGCAACGGCGCCTCCTCGCTGCTTTTGGCGCCTGCCTTGCAGCTCCTGCTGGACGCCTTCGGCTGGCGGGGCGCCCTGCTACTCCTGGGCGCCGTCACCCTCCACCTCATCCCCTGCGGCGCCCTGCTGAGGCCCCTGGAGCTTCCTGGCGACCCCCTCGCCCCGCCCCGCGGGCTCTTCGCTGCCCTGGGCCTGGGTCTCTTCACACGCCCGGCCTTCCTGGTGTTCGCTCTGGGCACTGCCCTGGTGGGCGGCGGGTACTTCGTCCCCTACGTGCACCTGGCCCCCCACGCTTTAGACCGGGGCCTCGGGGGGTACCGGGCAGCGCTGGTGGTGGCGGTGGCCGCGGTGGCGGATGCGGGCGCCCGGCTGGCCTGCGGGTGGGTGGCCGACCAGGGCTGGGTGCCCCTCCCGCGGCTGCTGGCGCTGTTCGGGGCTCTGACGGGGCTGGCGCTGCTGGCCGTGGGGCTGGTGCCGGTGGTAGGGGGCCAGGAGGCCTGGGGGGGCTCCCTGCTGGCTGCGGCCGGGGCCTATGGGCTGAGCGCAGGCAGTTACGCCCCGCTGGTGTTCGGGGTGCTCCCCGGGCTGGTGGGTATCGGAGGGGTAGTGCAGGCCACGGGTCTGGTGATGCTGCTGATGAGCCTCGGGGGGCTCCTGGGCCCCCCACTGTCAGGTAAGGGACTGACTGAGCCAGCAGATTCCCCCTACCCCTACTCTCCCACCCTCCTACTGGGGTCCAAGGCCTCTAAACTCCTTTCCCCTTCCTCTCAGGCTTCCTAAGGGATGAGACCGGAGACTTCACGGCCTCCTTCCTTGTGTGTGGCTCCTTCATCCTCTCGGGCAGCTCCATATACATGGGGCTGCCTGGGGCGCTGCCCTCCTGCGGCCTGGCTTCCCCTCCAGCCACCCCGCCCCCTGAGAGCGGGGAGCTGCTCCCAGTGCCTCAGGTGGCCCTGCTGTCCCCAGGAGGCCCTCATGCCACCGCGGACACGTCCTGTTGACCATCTTCTTTTGGTCTGAGCCCCTCCCTCAATAAAAAAATTTCCAGTGCTTCCGCAAGCTCCCGTTGTTGGCCCATCCAGGACGCTGTGAACTTTAGACATTCAAAAGGCCGCTCGGAAGGAGCCCTGGGAGAGAGGAAGGTACCTCTGTCTGGTCAGTCCGTTTCTCTCTGCCCACCCTGTTGCCATTAGAACAGGGCCTCTCTGAGAAGTTGTCCGCCTGCCAGCTTCCAGTTGTCTGAGGGGGAGGGCGGCTCATGGGTGCTATCTGCTCCATCCTCGATTCCTTGACTCAAAACTCTTCCCGTATCTCAATCTCCTTCTATTGGCCTGAGGTGAATACAAGAATCCTAGGCTCAGACTTAGGCTCTCTCAGCTTCAGCTCTCCCTACCAAACTGCCCCCCGCCCCTACCATGTTCCCATCATGTCCTTCATGTCTCTTCTAAGTCACAGGGATTAGTGGGAAAGAGGGAGGTCAGCAGGCAAGTGGGAGGAACTGTGGTCCAGAGAGCAGGGTCCAGGGTTACAGTTGCTCGGAGTGCCCAGAGCTCCAGGACACCTCCCCTCTATCCCCCGGCCATGACCCCACTCAACCAACCCAAGCCTATGGGCTCCAGTTCTTTCTGAGTCTCTGGTTGTGACCCAGTTTCCTTATTCAGTTTTATCTCAATGGGGCGACCCTCATCCCCAAACATCTGTCTTCGGAGAAGAAGCTTAGTAGGCAACTCTAGAGATGGATTCCCTTGGAAAACATAGTAAGTCTCTTGGCCTTTGATTTTCACAGTGGATTCCCAGCTCCCTGGAGCAGGCTGGACTCTTGGATCCCGCAGGAATGGTTGTGGAAGCCAAGAAGAGACAGGAGTCCTCCACAAGGTGCTAGGAGTTGGCACACACACACATCGCAGAGCCCCGGGCCTGCTGTAGCGGGAGACAGATCAAGATGTTGAAGGCACTGTGGTCCTCGGGGCACTGATATGGGGCAGAAGGCCCGGCGGCGGCGCTGCCAATCTCTGGCTCTCTGGGTCTTTCTGGAGCTCAGTCCTCTCCCAGCCCTTGGGGATCCAGTGCCTCTGTGACGAGGTCCTGGGGCTTGGGGGTAGGAGCCGAGACGCAGAAGAAGTGGGGGAGTGTGATGAGAACGCCACTCCCTGCGAGAAGGAAGGCCCCGGCCACCACGAAGGAAGCCGTGTAGTTGCCTGTCACATCCCGGAGGTAGCCTGCATCCGAGAGAGAAAAGGAGTACACATGGGTGATCTGTTTCCTGAGACTGACGGCTCGGGCACATTTTTGGGTGGGAGGAGGAAACTAATCTGTAATCTGCCATCCTGGAAGAGTTCGAACTTCCAAGGTGGGACCAGATGTGCTTGAGAACTCTGGTTCCCCAAGAGACTTCAAAGGTGATGCCCACCACCTTCCTGCCTTCGGAAAGGCCCCCCAAATCATATCAGCCAAGGGGATTTTGGGGATTCAGATGGAGTCAGGCACACCTGTGTCTTTCTTTCTGGCAACTGTTGGCCCTGACATCTGACAGTTTAGTAGTCCAGAGGGAAGCGTAAAGGGTCGGAAGGTTCTGGCATCTGAGGGCTGGAGAACTTTGACCACGTGGCTCAGACATCTGAGCTGGGGCCAAATGGGCCAAGGGCAAGGACGTGTTATGTCTGGCCAGGTCCAGCCGCGTCTGAAAATCCAAGCTACAGGTATCCCACCAAGGGCTCCGCCTAGCTCGTTTTAGTTTTCCCACAGCCCCAATTTCTTTGCCTCATGGACCCACTTCTGCTGTGACTGGTTACACAGGCCACGTAGCATGCCATACCATGTCACGAGCAGTATTTACACCCCCTCTAATGTGAACCGTCCCCTTCCTGAATGGTATGACGTGGCATCTCTGGCCACCTGGGAGCCATGTTCCCCTTACCTGACAGAGGAGCCCCCAACAGTCCCCCGATGCTCTCCACCATCTGCACCAGTCCCAGGCCACAGTATATCCTTCCAGTCCCCACCAGCTCAGGCAGCATGGAGAAGGCCACGGGGGTCAGGGCCCCTGATGTAAAGCCATAGGCCACGGCCAGAGCCACCAGGGCTGTGGGAGCCTGAGCCACAGGGAACAGGGCCAGCGACACCCCAGTCAGGGTGGTCCAGAGCACCAGGAGTCGTGCCACAGGCCCCGGGACTACATCCCCTAGCCACCCAGAAACCACACGCCCCACGAGGTCAGAGACAGCAATCACCGAGAGGAGGAAGGCAGCAGGCAGGGGATCCCAATCCAGGTCCCGGAGGTGGGCCACCAGGTGCACATAGGGGATGAAGTAGCCAGTGTTGATCAGGGTGAGGGCGACAGTGTAACGGAGGAAGGGACCGTGATGGAGGAGGGAGGCGAGCTGGGCCCCAGGGCCACCCGCAGCAGGGTCCTCCGTCAGGGAGAGTGGGCGGAGGAGGGCCCCACAGGCCACCAGATGGAGGGAGATGGCCGACACCAGCAGCAGGGTGCCCCGCCAGGCATAGTGGCTGAGCAGCCATTGGAAGAGTGGGGCGAAGGCAAAGGAGGAGAGGCCCACGCCGGTCAGCGCCAACCCCATGGCCAGGGATCGCAGGCGAGAGAAGTAACGGGACAGGCAGGCAAGTGTTGGCGTGAAGGTCAAGGCCCACCCAGAACCTGTAAAAATAAATAAATAAATAAATAAACAAACAAACAAATAAATAAATAAATAATAGAGAAAGAAAAAAGAAAAGAAAAAGAAATGGTGGCCGTAGCTGGTTTGGCTCGGAGGATAGAGTGTTGGCCTGCAGACTAAAGGTTCCCAGGTTCGATTCTGGCCAAGGGCACATGCCCGGGTCGTGGGCTCGATCCCCAGTAGGGGGCATGTAGGAGGTAGCCAATCAATGCTTCTCACTCACCATTGATGTTTCTCTCTCTCTCTCTCCTCTCTCTCTCTCTCTCTCTCTCTCTCTCTCTCTCTCTCTCTCTCTCTCTCTTTCTTTCTCTCTCTCTCTCTCTCTCTCTCTCTCTCTCTCTCTCTCTCTCTCTCTCTCTCTCCCTCCCTCCCTTCCTCTCTGAAATCAATAAAATATGTTCGTTTGTTTTTTTAAATGGTGGTTTGGGGACTCTTCGGGAGTTCAGGGATCCCTGTAATACCGACACTGCCCAACAGCAGAATGTAGCACAGGTCTGGTTACAATCCTAGCTGTGATATTATACTATCTAGCTCTGTGACTTTACCTAATCTCCCAGCCTCAATCCCTTCATCTGCAGAATGGGGGGGAAATATACTTTACGGGCCTATAGACACCTAGAGATAATGTTTTTAAAGTAACAAGTACAGAGTTTGGGAGTTGCACCCAGGCCCTACTATTTCTGGCCATGTGGTCTTTATTTGCCAAGTTTCATAAGTGTCTGAAGCCTTGCTTCATCTGTAAATAGGATAGAGAAGGCCGTCACGAGAGACAACAAAGGTCGCTACATAACACTCAAGGGATCGATCCAACAAGAGGCCATCATCCTGGTAAACATATATGCACCCAATATAGGAGCACCTAACTATATCAAAAACTGTAAACAGGCTAGATATCTATGTTACAGGCACAGTGCCCAGCACAACTATTATATGTACTATGTGATTCTTTCTTTTGCACTCCAGTCCCACTTGCTCCGGGCTTGCATACTGTGGACTCATTATCCCAGTAACATCTAAACAGCCCCACCACGTTTACTAAATGAGTCATCCCTCTTCATTCCCCTTCCGGGCACAGGTGTTATTCAAAACTTTCTCCCAGCTTCCCCATGAAATCTTTTGGGAAAGATTAGGAGGAAGGTGGTGGCCCAGAGTCCAAAGACTCCAGGCATTTGACTTGTCCTGCCCTGCCCAGGGTCTCACCTGAGAGCAGCCCGATACTCAGGTACAGGTGGGTCAAGGAGGTGGCGAAAGAGGCCAGCAGCATCCCCAGCGCTGCCAGGACGCCCCCAGCCATCACCACTGGCCTCGGCCCGAACTTGGTGCTCAGGACACTGCCCACGGGGCCTGGGGAAGCGAAAGGAGTTCAGTGAGGAGACTTCAGGCATCCTTCTCCAGCATCCCCCATCTCCCCCTCCTCCCTTACTGTCCCCGCATTTCCCAGGGTCCCAGGACCCCGGCCCCGGGCGGGCGCGGCACTCACTCCCGAACTGCTGCACCGCGATGCCGATGGAGGCGATCCAGGAGACGCGCGCCGCCGGCTCGCCGAACACTGCCACGAACTCCACGAAGAAGACGCTGAAGGAGCGCAGCACCCCGAACACCAGCGCGGACTGGAAGAACGCGGAGAGCACCACCATCCAGCCCCAGCCCCCGTCCGGGGGCTCGCTCCCGCGCGCCATGCGGGGGGGGGAACGGAGCTGCCGCCCCGACTGCCCTCGTGGGAATCAGGCTCGGGACCCTCCCCTCCGCCCGCCCCGCCGGGCCCGTCGCCCCCGGCCCCGCGGGGCAGGGCAGGGCAGGGCAGGGTGGCTCAGAGGGAGGCGCAGTCGGGGGGCTAGCGCGCTGGCTGCATCGAGGCTGCGTGCGGCGCCTGCGCTCTGCTCCCGGCGGGAGCGCGGGTGCGGGGGACCGGCCGGGGCTCGCCCGGGAGATTAGCGCCCGGGGGCGGGGCTGCACGGCCGCCGCGGGGAGCCCAGGCCCAGGCGGGCGGGGGCAGCGTCCCGTGGAGCAGCCTGGACGCGGCGCCGGGCTCGGGCTCTCCCCTGGAGGCGCATCATTCTCCGAGCGGATTATCTGTTTTTATCGTTGCAAGCAAGGGTCGGCCTCGGGCCAGCCGGGCAAAGGCCAACATCCTCGCTGGCGGGACTCCCGGGCGGGGCGGAGCCAGCAGGCAGGGCGGGCTCTAGAGCTTTGTTCGGGGTCGGGCCCCCCTCAACCCCCGCCCCCCACCCCAAGTGGGAGCATGCGTAAAGGGGGAACTGTAGGAGGTCCGAGAGATGGGCCCCAGGTGACGCAGGGACTTGCCCGGAGTCCGCTTCCGTCTCCTGTCCACCTAGCAGGCCAGCTCGCCCAGATCTCAGCACCCAGACCGCGTGTGAGGAATGCATGGGGGGTGGGTGGTGGGTAAACTGGTTCCGGAAAGGAAAACAATCCCTTGCTTAACGAGGAGCCCAGGAGTTTGCAAGGCCTGGTGGCCAGCGAAGGGATTGTGCCATGAGATTAAAATAAAATGCTCCCAGCTCCTCGGGTTGCTAGGATCTAGATACCGTTGATCTCTGAGGGGTTCGGGGCCAAGGAAGGTGACAAGGGGAATGGGCTGCTGGGCTCCTGGCGTTCGTTTCTGTAGTGTCGCTTCTGTTCCCTCTAACAGGAAACCTACAGGTCATAGAGACCAGAAATAACTGAGGAGAGGAAGGGCGAGCCTGCCAGCACCACCTACCCTTCATTCAACGGGGCTAGAGCACTTTCCCCGGCCTCTCAAGTACAACCACTTCCTATCCACGGTTTTTTCTTCTTCCGATTACCTAAACAGACAAGCCAGGAGCAACCCGCCCCTCCAAGCCAGTCCCTCCACCTCCCGGAGCACGAATGGCTGGGCTTCCTGTTTCTTCACTGTAATCAAGCTCCCAGGCCCTTCCCCTTGAAACTTGGGACTCAGAGATCTATACTCAGACAAGTGTGGGGTGGAGAGGGAGGGAGGCTGTGTATTTTAAAAAAGCATATTGTGCCTTATAAATTTATATGTGGGAAATAAAAATGGTCCCACCCCTAAAACTTAAAAAAAAATTTTTTTTTGTAAGCAGAGTCAGAATTTTGCGTGGTGGGAGACTGTGCCGATGATACAGAAATTGGTGTGCAGATATAACCTAGCAGTTAGAGAAGGCAGCCTTGCAGAATCATAGTTCCAACCTCAGCCTCATCACGTATTAACTTGGCCAAGCAAGATACTGACTCTCTTACTGGTTTTCCCTGCCTGTAAAGTGGGGATAATAGCAGCACCCACTCTTTAGGGTTGTCAGGGGCGTTGAATTAGAAAATCTATGCACTAAAATGCTTAGCTGAGGGCCTGACGTGGAGCAAGACTACTGACTGATCTCATTTTCAGCGGGGAATACACTGTCGTGGGAGAAGAGACGTTTTCATTTCTACGTTTCCTTTAAATAAAATAATCCAGGTCATCCAGGGTTTTAAAAAGACCGAAAGACACAACGACAAACTGTAAATGTTGGAAGCAGCTGCAGAGACCAGATGAATAGACTTATTTCACAGACGAGTAATTTAAGTCCAGAAGGAAGGTAATGTCTCAGAATTAGTGGCCTTGTATCTTCTACCCATAGGGCAGTACAGAGCTGTGCACCCAGAACACACACAGGACGGGGGTCAGGGTGGGAGAGAAGCTTACGTTGGGCAGTGGATAAATTCCAAGACCTCATTGCTGGGGGAGGGCCGCACAGCCTCCTCACTGCTACCTCCAGCCCCTGTTGTCCTCAGGGGACCCAAACCCTACCCCCCCCCCCCTTTTTTTTTCTTTTTTTTTTGTGGTGCTAGTGGTGTTAGGGGGTCCCAGCACAGATGCATTCCCCCAGCGCCTTGGTATTTTTAGTGGCTTCCTGGTTTCTGCCCGCCGCCGCTGACGCCTCCACACTTCAGGCAGGAAGTGACTTCAGAGCGGCAGGATGCAGGTGGCTCCGGAGCACTTGGTGAAGTCACTGGTTCCTGCACCAGGAGCCAGAAGGCAAAGGCTGGGCCGGGGAGAACACGGCCCATTTGAAATGTCTGGTGGAATGAGCACAAAACCGCAGGATGATGCCCAGGAGGAGGGAACCCTCTTTCCCTAGCTCTCCGCAGTCCCCAGGCTCCCCGGCCAGAACCCCAGGACACAGCAAGCAACATGAGAGGCTTCTTTATTCCATGGTTCTGATCTTGCAAGATCGAACATCTCCACCCCGATGCACTCTCCACCTGCCCATCCAGACCGCTAAAAAATAAAAATAAAAATCACGGTTCCTCCGCACATCTCTCTTCTGCTCTCTTCCTACAAGTCTGCAGTGGGGAGTAAGAGGGTAAAGATAAGCTTTTTCACCAGTTTCCAAATGATGACCACTAGTACTGACCTATCTTGAGGAAGCTCTACCCCACACATTTGAAGTCCTTCTCCCTTCTTCCCCTCTTCCCCATGCCCCGTAATCAAATAGGCTTCATGGCGAGAGGGGTGGGACTGTAAGTCAAGGCTTCAGAGCATCATCGAACATTCCAGACCTTCTGCCCAATTAAGAGGCAGACCCCATTCTTAACTTTCTACCTCCTTGGCCTATACCAGAAACTGCACCCCTCAACCAGCCTCTTAATTCTACCTGGATACTTGATCCTCTAGAAGGTCCATCAGTTAGTCAATCAGTCTTTTAAGTCTTCTCAACCTCTAACCCCAACAGTAATCCCAATCCCAATCCCAATCTATATCAAACCCTAAATGGAACTCAGCCTCTTTTCTCTCCCCGTGGAAGGTCCTAGTGCGTTCACTGGTTCCGGACAGGAATACAGTGATGGGAAGGCCAGGTCACAGACCCAGCTTTTCTAAGGTAAGAAAGCTACCAAGCACCTGTGGCTTCTAGAGGCAAAGAAGTTTCTGGAATCTGGACATGTGCCAGAACATGTCCAAAAACCCGCTGAAGGAAGGAGCTTGTCTCAGGTAGCGAGAACCCCCACGGGACGTTCAAACCCAGATGCCTAGGCATCAAAGGACTGGTCAGGACATGTTTAGCTAAGATAAAAAAGAGTTTCAAAACTCTCCTGTAGGTCAGAACATTCTCAGAGACTGGGCAGAGTCAGAAAAGGAATTCCAGAACTCCGTGCTGACAACAGGCCCTTGTGGGAGGGTTGTAAGCTCTATCGTGACAGACGCAGTGGAGGCGAACCTAGGTGAGCAGATGAATGGGACCCCATTAGGGGTATAAGAAAAAGCCTCTCCAGTCATCCCCCCCCCCCCCCCCCAAGACTGACAAAGCCCCACAAGCACAGCCCTCAGGAGGCATTTATTACCTGCATTTCAGGCTCCCCTTAAAGGTCCCATCACCTCTGAAGAACAGAGAAAGGTCTATCCAGTTCTAGCCTGCTAGAGAACCTTGAATATCCCGAGTCCAAAGGGTTCCTGACCCAATTCCACAAACGCACGTGTTGCCAGAGCTGCCCCAGGACAAACAAAGGTTCCAGACCTGGAGTCGGAGGGGCAGGGGACACAGCGAACCCCTTTCTCCACTTTAAACAAACCGACAAGCAAACACGCAGGAGGAAGAACAATTCTAAAGTTAGAGGCTGTGGCAACAGTAACATAAAACACTCAAGCCAAGTGCCGATCTCTGCCAGCAGAGTGTGACCTCACGTCCTGTGCTTCAGGTCACCGATCGCACCGGGAGGGGGAGCTAGGAAAGGCAATAGAACGAAGGCCCGGGTGCCACCCAGAGGCCTCAATAACTTATATTTACAGAGAAACCGAATGAGATGGGGACTGCAGGTGGAGGACTGTTCCCTTAAGGTGGTTGCCAAACTCGTTAGTCAACAGTTGGCCGACCACGGCCTTACGAAAACCAGGCCTCCGGCCTTTTCCCTCCCCAGTGCCTAGCTTGCTCTCTCCTTAGAAACAATGGATTGTGGGGAAGAGGTTTTGACCAGCAAAACAGAGGCAGATCAAAAGGTGACCTGCCCACCCCTGCTCTCCCCAGTGAGAAACGAAGGTGGCGGCAGTTTCTGAGAACGGAGGGGCCTTGCCCGCCTCCATGCCCAGGTCTGCCCGAGAAGCCAGGTGCGGGCCAGCAGCTTCCCTGGCTTCCAGAAAGTGCCTGTGGCCTGGGCCTGGCTCGGCTTGGCTAGGGCCCGCCCAGAATGTGGTAGTGCACTTTGGTGTTGGTAGCAGCTCCGTGTTTCTGGCGCAGATGCAGCCGCAGTTGGCTCTTGTGCCGGAAATGCAGGCCGCAGGGGTCGCACTGTGGGGTGGGGACGGAGGGAGAGAGCCGGGTCAGGTCCCTCCCCATCTACGAGCACCTCTTAGGTGCTGAGCGAGGGAGACGTGTTAGCTATCAGGCCAGGAGAAGCTCTCCAGTCCTCATGGCCTCCCAAATCCCCTGGGAGAGGCCAAGGAGATGGCTCCCCCTCTTCAGCAAAGGATGTTCCACCCCTTCGTTCCCCTTCAGGAGCCAGTGTCCAGCCAAGGAGCCTAACTTCTGTACTGCCCATCCCTACCCCCATCTTCGCCCCTTACTCACAGGCCCACCCTAGGCCCCACCCCTTGCAAACATGGACTTTCCGAGTTCTAGGGCCCGAGGCCCCTCCTTCCCTACTCCCCACTTCCTCTCGGAGCCCAGCCCCCATGGAAGCGGGAGGAAGGAGTAAGGCTTTGGGCCCGGTACTCACGTGGTAAGGCTTTTCCCCCGTGTGGATGCGAACGTGGCTTTTGAGGGTCTGTAGGTGACGGAAGCGAGTCCCGCACGTGGGGCAAGGATAGGGCTTCTCCCCGGTGTGGATCAGCACGTGCGCGCGCAGGTGTGCTACCTGGGGGGCGGAAGGAGGGGGGGGAAGGTGACCTCAGACTAGGCCTCCGGGAAAGACAGAAAGAACCCTCCCCAGGAGGCCACGCCGTCCTCTTGCCAGGCTGCCTTCAAGCGCACGCCGAGGCTGAGGCTGGCTCTGTACCTGGACAAAGCGGGAGCCGCACGTCTCACACTTGTAGGGCTTCTCTCCCGAGTGGATGCGGCTGTGCGTCTTCAGGTTGGCGGGCCGGTTGAAGCGGGCCCCGCAGATGGAGCAGTGGTAGGGCTTCTCCCCTGGAGGCAGGGGGAGAGAGGGGTCAGGGACTCTGCCCCAGGACAGTACCCTGGGCAGGAAGGCCGGGGGCCGCTCCTCTCCTACCTGTGTGCACCGCGCGGTGACTGGCCAGGTTGCCCTTGTAGCGGAAGGCAGACCGGCAGAGCTGGCACTTGTAGGGCTTGTCCTCATCCCCAGGAGCCAAGGGGTCCAGCCCCGAGGAGCAGCCAGCCACAGCTTCACAGTTTTGGCAGCTGAAAAATTCACTTCCTGGGAAGGGGTGGGGGAGGATAATGACCACAACATCAGGGAAGTCTCCAATCACACAGTAGGTTTCTTTTTCCCAATTTACTGTTAAGACTTCTGGGGCTCAATTGACTCCCTCGAGGTCACAGGGTTAGCAAGAGGGGAAGCTAAGATCTGGCCTCATGTGTCTGTCTCCAGGGCACTCTGCTAATCCCCTCATAGCGGTGATGGTCGGTGGAGGCCCCTACGAGTGGTAGAGGTGTCTGTTTCTCTCTCTTTTCTGCCACTGCGCTGGATCGCACCTTGCTGGAATGGCCCTGCCCAGCTCCGTCTGGGCTGGCCCCTTAGCCCTGGATGGGAATAGTCCCGAGGTTCCCAAACACCACTGCTCAGTGGAAGCTTTGAAAAATACTGATGCCGCTGAAACCGGTTTGGCTCAATGGATAGAGCGTTGGCCTGCCGACTCAAGGGTCCCGGGTTCGATTCCAGTCAAGGGCATGTACCTGGGTTGCAGGCACATCCCCGGTAGGGAGTGTGCAGGAGGCAGCTGATCAATGTTACTCTCTCATCGATGTTTCTAACTTTCTATCTCTCTCCCTTCCTCTCTGTAAAAAAAAAAAAAAAAATAAAAAAAATAAAATAAAATAAAAAATCAATAAAATATATTAAAAAAGAAAAAAAAAGAAAGAAAAATACTGATGCCTGGTTCCCAGGTCTACACATTTTGGTGTATGGGTGTGGCCGGGGCAATGGGAGTTTTAAAGATTCTGATTTGCAGGATGTAATTGGCATAGGTCCCTCCTGCAGACTTTTGGCCCAAACTGGCTTCGAGCGGCCACAAGGAGGGAAGCCCAGGAGGCAGTAAAAGGAGGAGCTCTCACCTGGTGGAGGACGAGCCCTCACGGAGGGAGGTGATGCCGGGGCTTCTTGAGGCCGGGGTGTGAGATGGGGGGTACTGACGGGAGCCCCACATTTGAACTGAACGGTGGCAGCCGTTGGAGAGAGCCTAGGCAGAGGGAAGGTTAGGAGAGGTTACGTGGAGGGGAGCTTCTCTGCTGGAGAACTGGGAGCCACAGGCCCACCCTCTGGAAGGGAGCAGTGCTGATCAGTGAGCCACATCTAGTCGCACTGCTAAAGACCTGCCACTCTGAGCGCGCCTGGCCTCCAGCCAACTTCCCAAGGGGGGTTTGTGTCCCTTGCTCCCTGCCCCAGACCACCCAGGCCCTACAGCTCTCTCTGCCTCCTGGCGGAGGCCAGCCACAACACCTTCTTGGGGTTCCGTTTCTGTACCTGCTCTGGGGACCGGGAATGGGTCCTTCTTCGCTGCCACTGCTGCTGCTGGAGGCCTCGTCGCCGCTGGGGAGCCCAGCTTGGGGGCAGAGTTGACCAGAACTCCTCTCCCCCACCAGGCTCCCCGCTTGGGAGGCCTGAGAGTTGAGCACGATGAACTTGTATTTTTTCCAGTTGCAGGCCTTGGGGTCGGGGCTGCCTGGACTGGGAAGGCCTTGACTGCAGCTGCGAGACTCCGTAGGCGGGTCTGGGTGCCCCTCGGAGCGCCTGGGGCTGCCTGGTGGCCGGGCCGCTGGGGGCGTGGGGGCTTCTGCCTCCAGGGGCCTCAGGGAGATGCCCAGAGGCTCATAGCTGAGGAAAGGATGGCTGACATGAGTGCTGTTTTTCTAATCGTGGCTTCTGCCCCTGACACCTGGGATACCCACCACCTCGCCCACGGAGAAACACGGAGCGGGCGCCTCACCTGGCCTGAATGAAGCGGTGGCATGCCTGCACCACGTGATCCATCTGCAAATAGGTGGCGGCCGCCAGGACGGCGGGCGCGGTGGCGGGAGAGAGGCGTAGGCGCGAGGTGTACATGAAGTCCAGAAGGGGAGCGAAGCCTCCGGCTTCGGGGCCCCCGGGCAGGGAGAGCACATCCACCCCAACTCCTGCACGGCCCCGGAAGATGGAATAGAAGAAGCCACTGGAGAAAGGGTAGATCAATCCTGTTAGGGGCTGGGGAACCACTGCAGGAAGCCCACGCACCCATCACAGGACGCCCCGCCCCTCCCTTTCACCCCGCCCCCAACCTCAGGACGCCCCGCCTCCTCCCCTGTCGCCCCGCCCCCAACCCCAGGACGCTCGGCCTCCTGCTTCTGGCAGGTTTGGCTCCAGGTTTCCTCCCCAAAGACCTTACGCCTCCGCCCCTTGCCCACTGGGTCCCGTCCCCGAACCTGCAGGCGATGAGCACCGCCTTGTGAGCCCGCAGGGGCTGCCCGCCGACCAGCAGCGTGACGTCGGTGAGGATGCCGCGCAGGCGCAGCTCGTTGAGGTTGCCCAGCACGTCGGCCGAGTGGCGGGTGAACTCGCGGACGTATCCCTGCGCTCGCTCCGGGGCCGCGGCGGAGCCCATCGCGGCCAGGCCTGCGGGGGCAGGGGGTCCGGGCGGTCCGAGGGCGCCCTCCCTCCCCTCCACCCCGCGCAGTCCGCCTCTTCCCCCCGGGGCTTCCCTAGACAGAGCCAAGCCCGGCCCCGGCCCCGCAGCCTTCCTTAGCCCATCCCATTCTCTCTGCCGTCGGACACTCCGTTGGCTCGCGGGGCGCCTCTCCATGTGAAGGTGCCCACGGGGTCGATGGCGAGCGTGGGGACCCCGGCCCGCAACGTCCCTGGTGGGACTCCGCGTGCCCTTCCCCTCACCCCTCTCCCGCAGGTTCCCCCGCGCCCCCGGTCCCAGGTGCCCACCCTGCCCCCGGCGCTTTGCGCTCCGCACACCAAACCCCAATGGAAGGTCCCTCCCTCCAACCACGAATTCTACTGCCGTCTAGTCCCCGGGCCCCTGGCTTCGTCCATTTTTGGGGGGGAGGGGGGGCTCCGTCTCCCTACCATCACCCCCAAACCAGCCCTTCGCCTGGGCCCCGCGCCCGGCTCCCTCGGCCTCGCGCCCTTACCCCCGTCCTGCAGGGGCTGCCGCTCCTCTGCTCCGGGGGGTGGGGCCGCGCTCCCCTTTTGGCCTCGGCCCCTTTATCTGGCCGGGATGGCGGGGGCGGGGGGTGGAGGTGGGGTGGACGCCTGGGTCCGTATCCTTCCTTCCTCCGTCGCCCTCCAGATGGCGGGCCCGGGGCGGGGTCTCCGGCTCCAGGGCGGGCCTCGGAAGCTCTGGGTGGTCGTGACCTTCGGGGTCTTGCTTGGGTCATCACCGGGGATGGGACTTGGCATTGGGGAGAGGGTTGGGGACCTCGAGAGTAGCAGCACGAGTGGCTGGGTTGCGGGGGTGAAAATGGGCGCGTTGGCTTTGGGGTGCCAGGCGCCTGTGGCAGGGGCATGGGCACAGCGAGGCCCCCGTCCAGGGTACGGTTACGGGGCGCAACGGAGGCGCCAGGTTTGGGGAGGCCAGAGTTGCGGGGGGTAGGGGAGTCCCAGACAGCAGAGGGGGGTGTGAAGGCCGGTTCCTCCAGCGGGCCTGCCCAAAGGGGGACTCGGGCCGGGCGGGGCAGGGAAAGGGCGGATATGATTTCTAGTGCGTTTCCTTCCATTGTCCTGCGACCGGACGGCTCCTCCAGCTGCTTCCCCTCGAGGAGGTGGGGAAAGTCCCGGGTGGGAGCGGAGAGACGCTCCGGAGACCCAGGCGTCCGGACTCTCGCTCCCGACTCGCTTCGGAATCCTTTTAGGGACCCGGAGAGAGAGGCTCCCGCCCAACGCCCGCTCGCCCTCCCCCGTCCCGGCCCGCCGAGGCCTCGGGCGGGCACTCGCCGGTCCGCTCCGCCGGACGGAGGAGGCGCCGGGTCCGGCGCGGCGGGCGGGCCGGCGGGCAGGCAGAGCTCTCGGGCGTGCAATGCTCGGCTCCTTCCACGAGGGGGCGGGCGCGCACTGGCTTCGCCTCGCCGGTCCGTCCTCACCCGGCTTTTGGGGGGGAGGGGAGGAGGAGAAAGGGGGTTGGGGGAGTCCGCTCTGACAGGGGCTCGGGATCAATTCCGTCTGAATGGCGGAAACCTTCGACCTCGTCCCCTTTGCGCTGGTTTATTTTGTCCTTCTGTCTCCTAGGAGGGAACTAGGAAGGGTGGGACAGAGGGAGGGAGTTAGACGACAGAAGTGACTTTTCCTCCGAGGCTGGGGTTCCTACCCGGGGTGAGAAGTCCGACGGCTTGGGGAGCAAGGGAAATGGGTGGGACAAGGTGTGAGTGTGTGTGTGTGTGTGTGTGTGTGTGTGTGTGTGTGTGTGTGGTGGGGGTGGGGTGGGGGTCTGAGCCCTGGGAGCAGAATTTTCCTTTCCAATTAGTCTAGGTGCTATAATCTGCCTGAGGGGTGAGTTTTTAGGCAACATGAATATGAAAGTGGGATAGGGTAAACAAAGAGAAGGGAAAACAGGATGAAAGAAGAGAAAGCGGGAGAGGCCTGATAACGAATTTTAAGTCCCTTATCCAGGAGATGGCACAGACCAGACGCTCACATTTTGTCCGAGGAGGTGCTGGTTTGCAGGCAACGAGGTTCCTTTGGCAAAGCAGGCCTGGGATGTGGGCTCAGGGGTTTCCCATCGCCAGGAAGTTCATACCCAGGCCTGGGGTCCTTCCCTTCAGATGTGAGGGTGTCTTTTTTTTTTTTTTTTTTTTTTTTTTTTTTTTTTTTTTTTTTTTTTGGCATGCACAGAACGGTGGAAAAACTGGGACTGGGGGTCACCGAGGATTGGGGCCCATTGGGTGGCTTTTGATGTGATGGTTTCTTTTGATCTCTGACCGGTACGGAGATCCCTCTGGTATCAGGATGGAGTTGAGTTTGTGTTGTCTGGTCAGTTGTGGTATGGGGCACTGAATCAGCTTGATGATTCTGAGCCCTGTGGGCTGCGTTCAGGCTGGACGCAAATGGAAAACCTGAGGCAGGAGGCTGATTTTGAAGCTACTTCAGTTCTGGAAATTCTGACACCCACAGTTTGGAGATTGTCATCGCGGAATAGTAGGAGTTCCTGCGAGGCGTCCTTGGGGACGTGAAGGAGGATGTATAGTCATTGGTGTATATGGACGATCTGACCTCATGCTGCTTTGGGGGTGCATTATGTTTTGGGGTGCCGCATACGTTGCGAGGCTCAGAGTAGATTTGGGGGGACATGAGGTTCAATTTGGAGTCTTTCGTTGTTCTAGGTGGGACATAATGGAACCTGGGAGCATGCGTGAAGGCCTTCTATGATTGTGGGTCCTTCAGGGGGAGCAAAGCGTTGCATTGGAACATTGTGGAGACTTACTTTGAGGAGGGGATGTGCCTGTGTGTGCACAGATGGCCCAGGAGCTTCATCCAGGGGCAGAAAAAAGATGAGGGCTCAGGGTGGGAAATTAAAGTTTTTGGGGTGTTCTTATTTTGGGGTGTTTGCAACTATTTGGTGAAACTGGGGTGGATCATAAGGTGAGATTGATTTAGGAGCTTACTTAATTTGGAATGCATTTAGTTGTCCTCTGCTTATAGCTCCTTTTCACCCCAGATTTTAGAAATCTTCTTTAGTGAACCCCAAATATGCCCAGGATTTAATGTGAAAAAATTTGGGAAGGAATGCATTTCCTCTTATCTATGTGGACCAAATAGGTCTGAGGGAGAAAAGGTGATTTTAGACTCCGAACCCCAATTTCTTAGGGGAGCACGCCTCAGTTTGGGAGATGGTGGAGGAAATGGGGTGTCTGGTGGTAAAGTGGACACCCCTGAATAGGTCAGTGCCGTTGGGTCTGTGGCAAGGAGAGGTGGTGGCTGGGTACAAGGAGGTGATTCCCATACCCTGATTTTCTAGATAAGAGCCCCAAACAGAAAGCAGAAGGAGAGCTGGGAGTGTGGGTGAGGTGGGGGGGAGGGGTTCCCCACGGCAGCAGGGGCTAGAGGGCAAGCCAGGCCAGCCCGGCACGCCTGGGTCCTGCTCTGTGCGGCTCTCCTCCCCCTCTCCCTCCCACCGCCCACCCCACAACCCAAGGGAAAAAAACTGCCTGTGCAACAGCAATGGCAGATTCCAATCCTCCAGGCTTTCCTGAACCACCACCGAGAGCAGCCAGGGGGGAGGGGAAGGGAGGATCGGGCTTTCCTGCTTCCCTGAGACTGGGGCTAGGCACTTGACCTCCTGGCCCCTAGCCCTTCAAGGAGTGTCCCCCCTGGTGTGGGAGCCAGGTGTCCTGGACCCCAGCCCCCCGAGCGGGGGGGCCTGGAGAGACGGGGAGGAGGAAGGAGGGAGTGACTTCCAAAATTGGCATCGGGACAGAGCAGGGCTGGCGGGAGGCAGGCGAAAGACAGAATTTTCCTGAAAAAACGGGGCTATCTGAGGACCCCAAATTTGGAGAGGTAGTTCAGGACCGTCCTGCCAACAACCTAGATTTTTTGGGGATTTTTTGGGGGCCCCGGGACCCCTCTAGATGGGGTGAGGAATGTAGTGTTGGGGGAATCTGACTGGGGCATTGCAGCTGCCTCTCCCGCCGAGTTGGACACGGATGGGCTGGGACGGGTTTGGGGGGGTGTCCCCAATTCTGACTGGGAGTGGAGGAACCCCCTCCTCAGCTCTCTTGTGGGGGGTCCCCCCTCCCTAGGGCACTCCCCACTCCCTGAGCCAGCCGAGAGGAAGGAGGCCAACGATGCGACCGGGGCGGCTCCTTTCTCCTGCACCCCAAATGTGAGGGATGCACCCCAAATTTTGCTCCCTTCAAAATAGGGGACCAGGATCTCAGGGGAGAGTAGCTGAGGTAAGTGGGGAGGAAAGTGTCCCCTGTTTTCAGGAGAGACGTGGCGGTTGGGGGGGGGGGAGAGGTTTGGAGGTGCCTGCTGGGGTGGGGTCGGGCTTTGTCAATCTTGGAACTGGGGGGATAATTGGAGAGGCTTTCTCTGATGACCCTAACGTGTAGTCCCCAGGAGGAAACCAAAGGCTGAGACCAGAGGGCGCCCCAACATTCCCAGCCGTTAGAAAAGTGTTTGATTTCTGTTTCACCCCCACAAAAGCTTTGCCAAGGATGGGAGCTGGGGGCCGCCGTTCAGTTTGGGGGCTCCGGGGGTTAAGATGGGGAGCAGGAGGCTTTGGCAAGATTTGATGCAGGAGAGATAGAGGTGTCAGAGGGGTCTGGCCCCCCAAGGGCCTGAAAAACCTGCCTTACACCTACCATCGTAGGTCTTTTTTTATTGCTAAGAGTTTTGGGGGGTGTGTCGACAGGTAGGGTGCTAAAGGGTGGGATGGGAGGTGAGAGGGTAACTTTGGGGCTATAGAGGATATTATTTTGATTTGCAGGAGGGATTTTGCCCCTTGGTGTTGATTTCTGGGGTGTGCTTTTAAGAAATCAAATACTGGACAGGAGAGAGGGCTGCGGGCAGGCCTTGGGTGGGGGTGGGGAGGCATGTCTCAGCTGAAACGTGGCTTTTTGGGGTGGGCCCACGCCTGAGCCTGGCGGGCGGGCAGTGGGGGCTGTTGCGCTGGGTGGGACTTGAGTCCTGGGGGGCCGTGGGGAGTGGAAGCAGAGCCGGGGGCTGGGTACCTGGCCCCCAGGTCGAGATGGCCCCTTCCTGGCCCTGCTGCTCTCCTTCCCCCCCACCCCCAGCCTCCATTTCCTGCCTGTGGCCTCCATCTTGAGGCAGCCCAGGCCCAGGCCACTTCCGGCCCCCCTCTGCCTGCCACGCACTGGCCCCACCGCCTCTGGTTTGCCAACTCCAACCCTGCCGTCCTTGGCCTCCTCTCTTGGGTCCTGACCTAGAGAGGGAGGATCGGACACAGAAAGCCTGGGTCCCTGCCCTGTGACTGGGGAGTTTGTGGGCCCCCGTGTCATTCCCATTCCTCCGCCTCTGACCCCACCCTAGGGATCCCAGGCAGCTTCTACAGGAACTAGGAAGATGGACCCAGGTTATTATACCGAGACTCCCCACAGGCCCCGCTCCCTCCCCGGGTGCCTGCCCAGCTTCAGCCCTGGTTTCGTTTTCCCCAACCGTTCTTGGGGGCCATGTTTGCTGCCTTTTCTACCTCCTTTTTCTCCCTGCTCTTGGTAGTGAGGGTCTTCCTAGCACCGTCTTATTCTCCCTTTCTCTCAACCACCCGTCCTGCTCCCGCCCCAGCAGCACACTGTGGTTTGTACGGCTCTGTGGCCACGTCCAAACCACACTGTGGTGTTAGAGCGAGGGTGGGGGAGGCACCGCTGAGCCCAGGAGGCTGCCCCGGAGAAGTGACACAGACATCTGGGGCCTTCCTGCGAGGTTGGGGGCGGGGAGCCGGGAAGGGAGGTATGAAAGCATGGAAACGGCCCCTCTCAATGCCTGGGGCAGCCTCAGGAGTGCTGACTGCTAGGGACCATGGGAGAGAGTTCCACCGTCGAAAGCAAAGTGGAGTCTTTGTTCCCCACACCCCGCTCCCCTGGCTCTAGCAGCACAGAAATATTGGCACTGGGACGAGCCTGCCAATATTGGCTGAGCTGCTCCAGGCAGGGGAGTGAGAGCTGCCAGGAGGGCCCGAGCCCTGGGGCTAAGGAGGGAGGGAATGGTCCCTCGTCCTTCAATAATGCCAAGTGAGGGAACCAGCTGAGAGCGAAGTCTCTTTATTGTTTTCTGTATAAAAACGTCCATGCACATCGGAGGGGGTGGGGCAGGTGCTTATACAGGAACAAGGGGCGGCCCCAGCAGTCTTTGACCCCCGCTGGGCAGGCCTTGCTGGGAGTCCCAGGCGATCCACAGGTCCAGGGGAAACAGTGAGAGGGGTCAGAGGTGGAAGGCTCAGCGAGACAGCAGAGGAGGACCGGCAGAGGTCACGAGAAGGCCAGAATCCAGGGTCAGGCTGTCTGGAACAGGAAGTAAAATGGCCGAGATGGAGCGAGCCCCACGTATGCTTCCGAGACAATTCCTGCCTCCCCAGAGCTCCCGGTCCCTCACTGATCCAATCACCTGCGCTGTGTGTGAGAGCACCTTCTCTTCCAAAGCCCCTGCTGAAGGGAGGGGACTCCTGGCGGGACCCTCCCCTGCTACTCACGGGACACTTCCTCCCGGCCCCTTCAGCTGGTGCGGGCGGAGAAGGACTCCTACCCTGGTCGAAGTTGAGTTTCTTGGATGGAGGAGTTTCTCCTAGCCCTTCAATATCCACCAGGTCACTGTTGGCGTCGGAGTCGTTCAGAGCACTGAGTGTCACATCTGGGAGGGGGCATAAGCTAGGTTCTAGGTCCCCTGACTCTCCCTCCTACCCCCGCCCCAGCCGCTCTCTGGGAACCTTCGCTGCGAGGGGAAGAGATCTGTCCTTTGACCCGAGCCCAGTGCTCTCACTAAACCTCAGCTGGGATTTTAACCGCGAGGCAGCAACTCCACAGCCCTCACCAGCCTTCTGCTTCTTTACGGGGGGCCCCGCGGCCTCGGGGACACCGGAGCTGCTGGGTGGAGGGGCAGCTGGAGGAGGCGACAAGACACCGGATGCCACCTTCTTCAGCCCTTTCTTGGGTGACTCGGACGGAAGGGGGATGCCGGAGTCTTCATACACTTTGCGCTTCACGGTGGCCTTTATCTGCGCCCTGAGGGGAAGAGAGAGGTTAGGGGTCACCGTCAGAGAGGCTGCGGGAAGGAGGGAGGTTGGGGCAGGGATGACGGGCCTCTCTGGAGGAATCCGGGGGAGCCCCTTCAGAATCTGGATAAGAATCCACGCCAGGGCCCCCATCCTTCGGAAGGGTCTCACTTTTCTGAAGCTTTTCACTCACTCAGGGCAGATGAGTCTAATGAGTGAGTTTCCTGGACTGAGAAGTGGGCAGGGCCCGCGTCCTAATTCTCTTTTGGGAGAGAAGTATGGATGTGAAAGGCAAACAGGTAAGTCTCGGTGACCTACAGGGAGAGTCTGATAAACTAGTTCAGAATCACAGCATCCCTGGAAACAGCAATAGAGTCTCAAAAGGTCTGTATAAATCATCAGGCAACTCCCATGACCAAATTCAATGACTGGGTATCGCAGGCAATCTAAAACCAAATTCTGGGAAGGTCCTGATGACAGCATTTGAGTGACTTCTGACTGATGGTGAGTTTTTTTTTTTTTTTTTTTTTTTTAATCTTTCGGTCCTCAAGGGGATGGATGGTAACAAAACTAAAAACTAGCGGCAAAGTAGGAAAGATGCTGAGCTAGGCTCCCGAGGAAGATGGAGCAATGGGCATGGAGGAAGCAAGCTGCCCACCCCCCTCTTTGTCTACCAGCCACCCCTCCCTCACACTGTCCGTTCCTTGATGACACAGCTGATGTGATTAAGATCGTCCCCAAACCGCTTCACAGCAGCCCTCAGCATCTCTATCTCCGTCTCCGTCCACTTGGCACTGTCAGGGGGGAGAGGGGAACAGCGAAAGTGGGAGGAGGAGGGGTGTGGAGACAGCCCCCAGGCTATGCATTCCACAGCAGCCAGCCTCCCCCCACCATCCCTGGAGCCCCTCCCATAGGTCCATAGAGAGGTCCTCCTTAAAAAAAAAAAAAAAAAAAAAAAAGGAAGAAACAAGAGCTCTTAAGATACCTGGGAACCCCGGGGACCCCCAAACACACACTGCACAAACCGCCACATTACAAGAAAGCCTATTCCCCGAGATCGTGAAATTGCTGTAAACTGCCCACTGAAACCAACTCAAAAAGCAGGGGGTCTTACAGGACACCTGGACACGGCCTGCAGCCAGCTGAGGGAATTCCCCAAGACGTGGGGTGGGGTGAGTGGGTAGTGGTGGTGGTCTACGGTCTGTGGGTTAGGGGTTCGGGTGAAGCGCCTCCTATGTGGTTCTACCTGCCATTCATTCAACCCCTTTCCCAGGCCCAAAGGCCGGCTAGAGCTAACATCGGTCCCCGCCCCAAGTGTCCGTGTCAGTGGCGAGTCCAGGTGTCCGCACTCGGCGTCCCCGACCCGGGCCGGGCTCACGTACCCCGCGGGGGACGAGTCGGCCACGGGATGCAGCTGCATCGTCAGCTCCCCGAGCTTCGTGAAGGCGGCCCCCGCCGCGGAGAAGATCTCTCCGACCTGCAGATGGGGCAGCATTACCGGGGCAGCGTTACGGGGAGCCCCGCGCCGGCCCGCCCCTGCCCCTAGCCCCACCCCGGGCTCGATTCCCGCCGGCCTCCCGCCGCCCAAACCCTATCCCAGGCGGAAGAGGCGCCAGCGAGCTGGCGGGGGACGGGCGGGGACAGCCCGTGGCCGCCAGGGAGCGCTGTCCGCAAGGGAGGTCGAACCTTGGTGGACGCTGACGTCATGGTCCGTGCGCCTCCGGCACGGAGACGCCGCCGTCGCCGCCGCCGCCGCCGCCAGGGAGCCGGGACCACCGAGCGCCAGCCGAGCCAACGCGCGACCCGCGCAGGAAGTCCCGCCCCTCCCCGCACCTGATTGGCTGGAACTCGCCCGCTCAGCGTCTTCCCAGCAGATTTCTTAGGCCGCCTCGGCGCGTGGAGGGAAGTGGAAGAGACCGCCTCCCTTCCGGTCCGGCTTCACTACACTTCCGTCGAGGGGCAGGGACTGCCTACTCGGAGGCCCACATCCAGCCCCCCGGGCACGCCTCTCCCAACCCAAGCACAGACTCCAGGCTTAAGAGAACAGCTTCTCTTTATTGTGTTTTGGGAAATGGCGAGGGGGCTGGAGGGACGGTGACAGCCAGGCCCAGCCTCCCTCCGCTGGGGCGGGCCCCAGAATGAGGGCAGAAGGGGGCGGGGAGAGTCTTTAAATAGAGGAGGGGACTGGGGAGGGTAAATGCGGCCCGGCTCTAGCGCACCATATATTCCTTGCGCTTATTGAGCCGCACTTGGCAGAAAGAGAAGCCTCCGAGGAGGAGGTAGAGGCCCGCAGCGATGAAGCAGTTGTAGCTGACTTGCTCGTAAAGACTGTATATACTCTGGGGGCCATTCCTAGGAGGAGGGGGTTAGGCAGAGAAGTGTCAGAAACATGAACAGCAGCAAGCATTTACAGAGTTCTTATTATGGGCTAGGACGGGTTCTAACTGCTTTTACGTGCATTATCTTTATTCAGTCTTCTTCACCCTACGGGGTAAGGGCTATTACTTCATCCATTTGCAGAGGGAGACGGAGGTACAGGAAAGTTAAGTAAAATACGTAAAGAGCCGAAACAGGTTTGGCTCAGTGGATAGAGCGTTGGTCTGTGGACTGATAGGTTCCAGGTTCGATTCCAGTCAAGGCCATGTACATTGGTTGCAGGCACATCCCCGGTAGGGAGTGTGCAGGAGGCAGCTGGTGGATGTTTCTTTCTCATCGATGTTTCTAGCTCTCTATCCCTCTCTCTTCCTCTATGTAAAAAATCAATAAAATATATATATATTTAAAAATACGTAAAGAAGCCACGACTAACATGGTGGGTTTAGGATGGCTGCTGAGGTCTGACAACCAAGACCAATACAAACTGTATGGTACAGAGCAGTTCTCCACACCCGGTGTCCTAGCCGCTGGGCCCCGAGCACTCTCAGCCTCCTGAAATTCCCCGCCCAGAACGCTGACCGCAGGCTCAGCCATCGCCCGCCGCCCCCCAGCCGCTCCCACTGGACACTCACTCAAAATCTTTCTCCGTGAAGGGGACGTCCTCAATGAGCACAGCCGAATGGACGTTAAAGAAGATTCCCAGCATTATCTGAAACGGAATGGGTAGGTTTTGACTTCAGGCATCTGCGCTGGTCACTCCCTAAGCTCCTTCCACTTCTAATGTTGCCACAACACCTGGGTTTGGGGATTGACAGAAAGCACTGGGAACAGAGGTAGCTGTGGCTAGATTCGTACTCAGTCGCCTGGAACAGGGCTGGAAGTGGTGACAGAGACGCCTGGCTGGGGAAAGGGCAGAAAGAGTGAGTAACCCAGGAACCCCCGGATCATTCCCCTCTTCAGAGGCGTCATTATCCCGGGACAGGGCAGAAGGGATCGGGGGAATCAGCATTTATGATTTCTTCCTGGAGTGGGGCGGGTAGAGTCCTGGGCAGACAAGGCCCCAGCTACACATTTCGGCAACAAAATTCGGTTTAAGCATCTCTCAGGGACCCAGCGCTTCTTCCTCTTACCAAATCTACCAGCTCCAGCTCCCTCCTCCATGGCCCGCCCCACTCTAGTTCCCTATTTCTCAATCTCAGTTCTGACTTGTTCTCCAAAGACGAATTCTCCCCCAAACCCCCCTTCCCCCTCCGCCTGCCGCTGCTTTCTAAGGCCTGGCGTCTCCTGGCCTCCCAGCCCCCCGACCCCGGCCCCCAGGGCCTCTCCAGTCCTCGCAGGCCAGCCCCTCACCAACATGATCACCCCCCAGGCGCTGAGGACGATGCCGCAGGCGGCCAGCTTGGGCCCGCAGCACAGGAGCGACACCATGGAGATGGCAGTCGGGGGTCGCCTGGAGCTGGGCCGAACGGGAAGGCGGTGGAATGAGTCCCCGATGGGCAGGAGCGGAGGAAGCCGGCGGAACTCGGGGGCTAGTGCCGCGGACAACCGGCTGGAGGGGCGGGGCCTCGGGCCCAACCTTCGCGCGGGGGGGCGCCGGGCGGAGGACGCCGAGCGACCTCGGCTCTTCTCCGGGAATGGCGGTAAAAGGCGGGGTCTGAAACCAAAGCAGCCCACCTACGGATCCCCTTATGGACCCGTGTATCCGGGGCGCGAGTGGTGGAAGAGCAAGTGCCTAAGGTTTCTTGGTCCCCCCTCTCCAGGTTGGAATGGACAGAGCCGGAGCATCACGTGATCCGGTTTGGCAGGTCACATGAGGAGGAGCCCCCAGCAGCTGGTGTTTGGGGAAAAGCGTCTAGGTCGCAGGGCTCCTGGTAACCTTGGAGGTGGGCTCTTAGGAGCAGCGGGACTGGAACCGATTTGCCCCCCCCCCCCCCCCCCCGATACCGTATTTTTGGGTGGTGGCTGTCTGTGGCGGGACACAGAGATTCTCGCCGAGAGAGAATGCCTGGATCTCCGCACATCCCTCCCTTTAAAAACAGGGATGCTGACACAGAACAAGGAAATAGGAGATCCTTCCTGAGGCCCTGCGTACTGCTGTGGCCGGAACGCTTTAAGATTGCGGAGCGTTCTTGGCACCGGGGATACCTGAGTGACGTTTGTTACCAAACACGGAATACTAAGTGGTTTTGGATGCCAAATCCAGAGAAAATAGGGGCGTCGGGAAAAGCCTAGGGAAAGTAGGCCGTGGGTAGGATGTGAAGGTGCGTGGTCCTGCTAAATGTACTGGAGAAAGAAATAGCGCACAAAACGTCACTTTGCTTCACTGCTGTGAACTAAGGGAGCGGATTATAGGCCCTTTGAATACGGTAGGGGCACGATTTTAAGGATATGAGTAAGTCATTCACTCCAAAGAAAAAGTTTGTATGCTTCCCTGGTGAGAGACTGGTTTGTAGTAATCATTCAGGGAAATGCATGTTTGAAGAACACAGTTCTGTTCTGAGCTTGTACCCAGGATAGTGAAGAAAGAGTAATCAAAGCATAACGGAGAGGGGTCATTTTGAACCCAGGACAAACAAACAGTGGTTAGTATAATTTTGTGGTACTATTTCACTTATTTTGTGCATATTGTTCTGAAAAGAGTAGTGAGAGAACATAGAACCTCGGACACATGTAGAGACTCCAGTGTACTAAGGGGCTGGGAAAGTGGCCTTAAGACATGAATTTCATGTCTCTTGTTTGAGATTTTTTAGGGAAGGAAGCCAAAAGATTTTAGTCTGCTCTAGGAGCATCTTTTAAAAAAATTTAAAAATATTTTATTGAGTCTTTACAGAGAGGGAGGGAGAGAGTCAGAAACATCGGTGAGAGAGAGACATCGATCAGCCACCCCCCCCCCCCACTCCTCTGCATACCCCCTACCAGGGATGTGCCCATAACCAAGGCACATGCCCTCGACCGGAATCAACCTGGGACCCTTCAGTCCGCAAGCTGACGCTCTATCCACTGAGCCAAACTGGTCTTGACATAGGAACATCTTTCTTATTCCAGAACATTTGGGGGTAGCTGTGTGAATAGAAGTGGAGGGAAAGTTGCAAAAGAACAGGATTAGGACTTTTTAAGTTGGCCTCCAAGCATGAAGTCTAGCACCTAGGAAAGGAGAATTCGTTGAGGTAGTTCATTCCTCCAAGAAATCTTCCCACACACCTCTGAGAGTGTTCTCTGGATGTTTGCAAGTAGGGTCAGTGCCTCAGGCCAGGTCACGCACTCTTGTCCAGACACTGACACAGAGGGCCAGATTCAGCCTGCAGCCTGTGCACGTCTCTAGCATAGGACATGGGTGTTTGTTTTGTTTTTGTATTTTTAAAACAAAAGAATATTTTGTGACACATGAAGTTTACGTTTCACTGCCCATGAATAAAGTTTTATTGGAACACAGTCATTTTCATATTGTCCCATTTGCTACAATAGGAGTTGAGTAGTGACAGAGTCCGTGTGGCCTACAAGCCATAACACTTTTATTTGGCCTTTTACAGAAAAGGTTTGCTGCTTCCTCTCCCTCCTAGCACCCCACTCTTCCTACCACCACCACCTTGCTCTGGGCCAGTGGGATACTGATGTAGAGAATTTATTTGGGAGAGCTGAAGGTCTCCAGGTGGGGGCGCCATAGAGCTCAGATAGTGATACTGTTCTCTATGTTGCTGGGCTTTAAGTATTCGTAGGCAAGGTCAAGCTGCTCATTCCGGGCTGTCATTTCCTTTTCCCAGTTTTCCAGGTCTGCTTGGAATTGGTCCAGTACAGCTTTGGTCTTGGAGCCTGAGAAATACTTTTCTTTGTGATGCCCCAGAGGAACCTAAGAAAGAACAAAGGATCAGTTTCTAATCTGAAGGCTGAAGCACCTCAAGCCTAGCCCCTCACTGATTTTCCCCTCCCATCATCATTTCTCTTTCCCTGGAGGCCTCACTTACCATGTCTGGCTGGCGTCGACCCAGATGCCATGTGATGGTCATTTGCAGACAGGCCTGTTGGACATTAGGGAGTGAGCCCATCACTGTGGCCATTGTCACATCTTCCTTGGTGGTGGGTGGGGGCATTCGCATTGTGCATGGGGCATTGGGGACCCAGGCATACCAGTCCAGCTGGGGAAAGAAAGTACAACCTTAGGATCCTGGCACTTAGGGTTTGAACCCCTATCTCTCCCTTGGGTATCCACTTGCTTTCATGGGCTTTCATGTGTCCATACCTGGCCCTTGTTGATGGCCCCATGCTGGGCACTGCACGTGAACACACACATGGTAAGGAAATGGCAGAGTTGATTCCGAGACTGGAAGGAGACAGGGAAACCTGGGGAGGAAAGGAACAGGATTCAGAGGCTACAGCATGAGAGGAGAGAAATAAAGGTTGATGTCTTGGGATGTCTGCCTATTGGAATTGACGGGTGTTGGTTCATTTATTCAAAAATATTTGCATCAGACATGATTTTCAGTTCAGGCTCAAGCAATCTAGTTTGGACATGTTAGGCCAATTAATTTCTCTGACCTCAGTTTCTTCACCTATAAAGTGTGGATGATACCTTCTAAATGAGATGCTGTATCAGATATTGATTTAACTGCTTAGTAAGTAGTAATTATTGTCATTATGGAAGGGTTGGGGGCTGAAAAGGTTAAGTGATCAAATATCTTCTGCCTTAAAAAAGTGGCTAAGAATTTAGGGCTGCTTCCCCCTATTCCCAATTATAAGGTGAGGAATAAGAGAAGTCATGGATTCCTAGTCACAGCTAAGAGAGGCTTTTTACAAGTTATCCCAGGCCACCCTATAATCCTACCTGTTAAGTGGAACAAGTATAATCACCCTCCTTTTATAGATAAAATGGACACAGTTGGGAAAAGGCAGAGGCTGACCTTGAATTTGGGATCCTGACTGCTAATTTTGGACAGTTTTTAATCTTAACACATTACCTCTACAAGTCTGTTGGGAAAATTAGGCAAAAGCCAGCTATGAGAACTGAGGGAAAATGAGAGGCAGTTAGCTGGAGGTTAAAGTTAACATGTGGAGGTTGTATTTTCCAAATGTAGTTGGTACTAGTTGGGGGAAAGATGGCCAGGCAGAGGAAGTAGAGACTTTTCGGGGGCATGTGGAGCCTAAGGAACAGTATGGAGATGTCTTAGAGAGTTGGTCCTGGGAGGGTGGGGATGGTGCAGCCTCAGGTTCCACAGGGAGAGGCCCCTTCAGAGCGCAGGTGTTGGTTTATTGCTCACTGCATCTCCAGGGTCTGACCACAATGGCTCCCCAGTAAATGTCAGTAGTTGCCGAAAACCAGTGTGACTCAATGGATAGAGCGTCAGTCTGCAGACTGAAAGGTCCCAGGTTTGATTCTGGTCAAGGGCATGTACTTTGGTTGCGGGCACATCCCCAGTAGGGGGTGTGCAAGAGACAGCTGGTCGATGTTTTTCTTTCATTGATGTTTCTAGCTCTCTATCCCTCTCCCTTCTTCTCTGTAAAAAAAATCAATAAAATATATATTTTTAAAAATGCCAGTAGTTGTTCTACAGAGGCAGAGATGCTGGTGTGAAGTATGAGGAGCAGGGACTGAAGGATGATTTGAAGCGGTCCAGGTTGGTCCACGCATGCTGGAGAGAGGAGGATGAACTAGGAGAACTCAAGAAAGGAAATTTATTCCCCAGCAGTTAAATATGATTAGGGTATGCTACAGCTAATGACTAGATCTTAAGCCAGCGGCTAGATCCCAGCAGGAATGGGGAGAGGACAGATTGTCGAAAGGAATGTGAGCCCCAAGGGACAAGGAACTGAGTTTAGGTTTGAGCCAAAGCATGTGCAGTATTGTGTTTGCACCTAGAGATAAAGTGTGCAGTATGCCTGGACCCTCTGTGTGTGCTGGACAGTAGCAAAAGGAGAAGAGAGAAAAATCAGAGTGGGTCATTGTGGGGTTTCGTGGGAAAAGCTTCCCATTCATATCCTCAGGCAGGAACATAGACATATGAAGAGAGATGTAAGCCCCAGTAGGGCCTGGCCAGATACCCCGCTGGCTGTAGTTCTGGACCCACTGAGCCCCATGCTGTGGCAGTTTGGGGCATCTGTGACAAGGCAAGGGGGAGGGATGTAAAAGTTGATGGTCAGGGTCTTTGAGGAGGACAATCTTTGTGTTTCTAGGATTGTCCTGAAACTTAGAAAGTGGGAATGAGATCCAGATGCTTCATGTGTGGAGGGAGAGAGGGGGATGAAGGGTTGGGGCCATGTCCCCAGAAGGCAAGGCTGACAAGGATTCTGGGCAGAGTGTCCGAGGAGCTTACTTCTCTGGGGAGGGATCTCACCTCGGTCCTGGGCCTGGCACAGCCCCACCTCAGTGATCTCTCGACACCAGGCCTGCAGCTCAGGGTCTCCTCTCACGACATCATCCCCGTGGTAGAAGAGGTGGATGATCCCCTCCACATACCTGCCCAGAGAAGGGAGCTGAGCTCCTTGAGAGTACAAGGCTCTAGCCTCTAACCTCTACTCCTTTTCTGTGATGTCTATCCAGCACACTCTTACTGTGCCTGAGTATAGATCTTTAGAAACTTACCTTTTCTAAAGGTAATGTTCCTAAACATTAGCGCAGAAAGGAATGAAATGTGGGTCACTTGTAGAATTGCCATACATGGTTGATAGGTAAAATGGACACAGTTGGACAAAAACCCTGATTTCTCCAGATACCACAGTCTCCCCATCCACAGCTATCCCATCCGAGGCTATCTACCCCATCCTAGTCTCTTCCTATCAGACCCTACTCACTGTTTCCTCACTGTTCCCCATCTCTCCCAGACTGAGTCCTCTGCTCCTCCTGTTTGGACCTTCTTGTTTCATGTTCCTTTTGTCCCATGGTGACCTCAGGCCAAAGCCCCATTCTCATTGTCATTTCTCAGCTCCCATTCTCACCCACCGGGCAATGATGTCCCAGAGCCGTAAAGCATCTTGGGCATAGAGGGCACTTGGGATTCCCAGCAGGCCACGGTCAGCCAGATCGTCAGGAGGACAGAGGGAGCGGTAGGTCAGCTGAGCCATGGCCCGACAGATCAACTGCACATGGCCCCCTCCGCCTGTGCTCACAGCCTGGGACAGAGAGATGAGAGGCCTTGAGGAAGAAGACAGAGCATAGTGTACAGGAGGCTCAGATGTGGGGTTCTCACATTTAATAACATCGGTATAAAGGGACAGGCTCCTGGGCTTAAGGGTCAGGGCATCCACAGAGGTTGCCCTGGGATCTTGAACGTGACAGCAGTTAGGCAGCCCCACATTCCATCACCTCCTTACCTTATCAAACACACCTCCATGTGAGATGAGTTGGGTCCTCGCCCGGGTGTTGATCTCCATGGTGTAGCGGGTGTGTGGGATCAGGAGCTGGAGGGAGAAGGGTGGAGGGGTGGTTTGTGGAGGACATGCTTGGGCCCTTCTTTAACAGGGAGTGGTGCTCAGCATGGTGTCCTCCTGTCCATGATGCTTTCCTCCTTGCTAGTGCCTTTGCAGGCTGGTCCCCTTCTGATTCTCTGGTCACTCATTCTCATGCTCTTTACTCCCCTGTGAGTCAGGCTCTGGAGCTAGACCTACCTGGGTTTCAATCTACACTTAGATCCTGTCCAACGTAATGGACCCTCTAATAATAATCTGTCTCATCCCCTATCTGTCACCTCATCTGCCAACAGGGGGTGATAATAGGGTTTCTCATCTCGGGAGGCAGTGGTAATGCTTAGGTGAGTGACGTATGAAGAAGGTGTAGTACACACAGAAGTCCTCAAGTCTCAGCTGTTGTCATTTATCTTCATTATTTCCACACTGAGTGTTTGATTTTAAAGAATCAGCCCCTTTTGATTTTATTTTATATTTCTATCATTTGCATCCTCATAGCTCATAATTACCCCTCTACTCATTATCAAAACCACACTCTTCTGGTCGCTTCACAGTTGTTGGCTTTTAAAGGGTGAGTACCTTTAGTTAGAATAAAAGGAGGCATTCTAAGCTACCTACTGAAGCAACATGGGGGCTGCACCCACCCCATCCTCCGTGGATAGAGTGTCAGCCTGAAGGCTGAAGGGTCCTGGGTTTGATTTCAGTCAAGGGCAGGTACCTCAGTTGTAGGCTCCATCCCCAGCCCAAGGTGTGTACAACCAATCCATATGTCTCTCTCATATCTATGTTTCTCTCTGCCCCCCGCCCCCTTCCACTGTCTCTAGAAATCAATGGAAAAATATCCTCAGGTGAGGATTAACAACAACAAAGATTTTGAGAATACTTTCAAGCAAGCACAAGTCTTATTTTGCTGCCTTGTGCCTAGCAGTAGATACTGAGCTCACTCTCTTATAAAATTACAACCCATCGATCCTCTGGACTCTTAGGTGTTATAGCTCAGACCTGTGATCTTTCTCTCTTCGGTCTTATTCACAGGCATGCGCACCTGTTGTTTCCTCCCTTCACCAAGTCTTTGATTTGTTTTCTTGTCATTCCTGAAACCACCTTGCATGTCTTTCTCCACCTATTTCCTGGGCAGGTATAAGTAACCCACCGGACTGCTCTCCTTGCTTTTTGATCCATTCCTACAGCAGACTGCTCAGTTAGGGTGGCGCATTCTCCATCAATACTGTGGTGTTTATAGGCTGTCTCGTGATTTTAAATTCTAGTTCCAGATGTTATTCACTGGTTGGTCCTTATAGGCATCACTTGTCTTCCTGGATAAACAATAAATCTGCTACGACAGGAGCAAGGGTTTGGTTTTCCTAACAACAGTCCAGCAATACTCTAGGGTCATTGCTAGATTGTCAGGTCTCTGGATTTCAGAGGGTTCCCTTATAACATGTCCTGAAGAAACATTAGGTGACTTGATGCAATAAAAATGCAAGTCTTAAGATATTGACACAGTCTTCCTTTTCTTTCAAAAAATGGATATACACATTGTTTTTTTTTTTTTTTTTTTTTTTTTTTTTTTTTTTTTTTTTTTTTTTGCTGCTGCAGTATCATTTGATATTTGATATTTGCCATATCTTCTCTTGAGTCTGAGCAAGGTAGAGGATTTACCTTGAAGACAGGGTGCAGTCCTGGGAGGCACCTCATGGTGGCGACAGCAATGACTTCAGCCAGCAGATGAGTGTTGAGCAAGTGATACTGGAGCTCATGCAGTTGGAAATCTGAATTTCGAACCCAGGACTTTGCCAGGAGCCAGGCAAGTGGAGGATCTGAAGGCAGGAACAGTGGTGGGGTGGGGGAGCTAGGGCTGGGAGGCTGGATCTAGGAAAAAAATTGAACATTTATTTAACGTCTACTTTATGAATGACATTATGGTCACCATTCCGGGGGAAACAGAGAGGACTGAGTAAGGTTATTCTTACCCAGGAAGTTATAATCTAGTAGGAGGAATGAGGACCTTTCCACCCGGCCTTTCACTGGCTGTGCGGCCATATGAGTCCCGGGCCATGATGGTCAGGTTGAAGGCAGGAGAGTCAGAAGCAGGAGCCCAGTAAAGAGATTCTAACAGTGGTTTGGGAGAAATGTGGTGAGGTTCTGAGTTAGGGTGGAGGGATTGAAAAGAGAAGCTGGATGTATTAGATAGTTGACAGTATTTGCTGAATGTTGAGAACTTTGGAAGAAAGGATATTCAGGAAACAATGTGTATTTTAGAGTCAAGGCTACCGAGAGAGTAAACAGTGATTCTCAGAGTGTGTTCCCAAACCAGCAACAACAGCATCACTTTGGAACTTGTTAGCAAAGCAAATTCTCAGTCCCCACTTGAGATCTACTGAATCAGAAAATCTGGTGGTGGACCCAGAACCTGTGTTTTAACTAGCCTTTCCGGTGGTTCTAACTAATGCACACTAAAGTTTGAGAACCACTGAGTACAGGGTGAGAACTCCAAGAGGCCATTATGACTCGTGAACAAGTACTTCCAGTTGGGTGAGTCAGGGAAAACCAGGCTGTAAGCAAAGACTGACAAGAGGACACCTCTCACTGTGTGAGGATGGCATTTGGGAGCCCAGAGCTGGGGGATGGGCCCCTGGGAGCAGAGGTTGGGTAAACAGAGGGCAGTGTTGGGAGGCGGATGCCCCAGGTGCCTCACCTGGATGACCATGGGCAGCAGCTTCCCACTGGGCTCCATCTTCAGCATGACGAGGGGGGCAGCCAGGTACTGCTGCTCTCCTCGGATCACATTGGCTGGAATTCCATCCAGAAGGATGAAGTCAGCTTCAAACAAGGAACCGTTCTGGGGAAAAGTTGAACATATCTGTGGTTAGAATACAAAATCTACAAGGACAGGGCAAAGGTGGGAGGGAGATATTTAAAGATACTTAATCTTTTGTTTTTAAATATATATTTTATTGATTTTTTTATAGAGAGGAAGAGAGAGGGATAGAGAGTTAGAAACATTCATGAGAGAGAATCATTCATCAGCTGCCTCTTGCACACCCCTTACTGGGGATGTGCCCACAACCAAGGTACATGCCCTGGACTGGAATCGAACCTGGGACCTTTCAGTCCACAGGCCGACGCTCTATCCACTGAGCCAAACCGGTTTTTGCAATACTTAATCTTATTAACCAAGATCAGTCCAATAAATTTAATTAAAAAATAAAGACATTTATCTAGTGTCTTTGCATTATCCTATATTAGTACCAGAGCCCTACTGGCAGGACCAGAGCATCTTGTCCAATTCTCTCATTTTAAATAAATGAAGAAACCACTGAGTGTGGATTGATGGCTTGTGCAGGCTTTGTGGTGGCAGGCCTGGGTTTAGAACCTGGCCTCTCAGTCCAGTTTGCCTTGTAGGCATTGCAAACTCTCCTGTTGTCAAGATGGCTGTGCCACTTCCCCAGTATCCCCCAACGTTCTGCTCCCTGTGTTGGGCGCCCATCAGCTCAGCAAACTGTTCCACTCACTGTCCAAATCTCACCTCCTCTGCCAAGTAATCCACAGAGGTTCCCTGACCACCATTGCCACGGAATCCAGACACAGGCACACGGACATGCTCACATCCTGCTTTGTTTGTCTGCCTTATCCCCAGCTCATCTTTTCTGTATCCAGCTTTCCTCCTCCCCGAAACTCCTCAGTTCTTCCCATCTGGCAGTGCATTCTTTTTTTTTTTTTTTTTTTTTTTTTTTAATATATGTTTATTGATTTCAGAGAGGAAAGGAGAAGGAGAGAAACATCAATGATGAGAGAGAATCATTGATTGGTTGCTTCCTGCATGCCTCCTACTGGGGAGCAAGCCTGCAATCTGGGCATGTGCCATGACCGGGAATTAAATCCTATCCTCCTGGTTCATAGGTCAATGCTCAACAACTGAGCCACGCAGCTGGGCTGACTGCGTTCTTCACCTTTCTTGTTGCCCGTGAACACTGGGAATGTGTTTGTCCCAGTTAACATCTGGCCCCACCTGCATGCACCTTGCACATCCATGCTGGGAGTTCCTCCTATATGTTTTATCCTCTCTGGGTTGTTTTCCAGCACAGGACTCTTTACCCAAGCCTCCCTTACCCGACTCACTTTTAGTTCCTCTTCACCACTGCTTCCTACACAGACAAGGAGAGAACAATGTAGGGTGGGAGGGCGTACCTGGAGTTCTTTCTCCAGCTGGGCCTGAAGCTCCTCCATCCCTGAGGGCAGCACCAGCCGGGAGGGCAGAGAGGTGGAGCGTCTCAGCAGCATGGGGTTGGCGCCATTGAGGAACTGGTAGCCAAAAAGCTCATCTTCCTGCCAGCGCTGGTGAACCTTCTCTGTGTGTCAGAGTGGAGGTTAGGAGGAGGATATTCTTTTTTTAAAAAAATTGAATTTATTGGGGTGACATTGGCTAATAAAATTATGTAAGTTTCAGGTGTATGATTCTATAATACATCATCTGTATCCTGTATTGCGGGTTTACCACCCTAAGAGGAGGAGTATATTCACCAAAACCCTCCTCAGGCTCTACCCCAGGGGATCAGGCATTGACTGCCCTGTATGCAGTCCCTCTCTGAGATGATGTCTCATCTGGCAAGGCCTTATTGGGGACTATGGAGTATGAAGGTTGGGTCATCAAAAGGGGTCGTCACAGGTTTATAGACACCTGGGGGAATTACTGACCAGCCAGGGAGCTCCTCTGACCCCAGAAGATCTGATCAAAATCCTCCAGATGATTCCAGGCGCTCAGGAGGGTGCGAACACGCTTGAGGGCTATCTCCAGTGTCCTAGGACAGGTATTGAAGCATGAGCCCGTTAGCTGATTCCTCAGCCCCTCACTATTTACCACCATTCCTGGGTCTCCCAGCCCTTACTCTACTGAGCTCCAGCTTTTTCTCACCCAGCCTTCAGTGTCCACTCAAAGTCCAGCCTCTTCTTCTCGTGGAATCTTATATTTGGAGGTAGATCATCCTCACTGCCTGCAGCTACTGTCAGAGGTAAGCCCTCCTTCCAGGTGGCCCAGCTAGGACATGGGGACAGGGTTCGGGTCAATGATGTGGGCAGGGTCAGGGGATAGGGGGTGAAACTTGGGGTCTAATATGGGTGGGTGGTCACCGGTATATTTGCTGTCTTTCCTTTAGTTCCTTCTCTCGATGTTTCTGGAACACATCCGATGCATTGTCTCCTGGCAGGCGGGCTGGGGAGACATGAAGACCATCGGCCACAGTTTTGTGTGGTCCTGTGCTGCTTGTCCTCACCGTCCTTTTCGTATTGTGGTCCATGGTTCAGTTGTGCTCTGTCGCTTTTATTCCTGACTGTGCCTCAGTTCACTGAGTCCCTGTTCCTTAATTCATCTTTCCCTACCTGATCTTATTTCATCAATATCTATGGTTGGATAAATCACTTGAATTAAGGTGACAAAAATCTTTTTTTTTTTTTTTAATCCTCACCCGAGGATATTTTTCCATTAATTTTTCAGGATGAGTGGAAGAGAGAGGGAAAGACAGAGAGAAACATCGTTATGAAAGAAACAAATTGATTGCTTGCCTCTTGCACGAGTCCCTCCCAGGAACTGGTTCGAGGAGTAGCCTGCAATCAAGGTCTGGGCCCTTGACTGGAATCGAATCCCAGATCCTTAGGTCTGCGGGCTGATTCCGGTCAAGGGTCTATCCACTGAGCCAAACTGACTAGGGCCAGTGATAAAATTGTAGTCACCCCTATGCCCACACTTGTTTTCTACAACATATGGCTTTGGTGACTTTTCACTTCTTGCCTCTCACCTGCCACACCTCCAGCTGTTCTCAAAAGCTGTTTGCTTTCTTTACCTGTCTTCATCTTTCCTAGGCTTACTACCGAAGTCCGTGTTTACTGACTTCTTCCTGCTCTTATCAGTACTTACACTCACCTGTATTAACGTCAGATATGTAATGTTTCCAGCCTTACCTGTTCTTGCTCCCGTTTGTCTCTGCGTTCCTGTCTCTTATTTCCCACAGTAATTCAACATTTGCTATCCTCATTCGTTCCGACACATCAGTGTGCTCCCTGCCCTCACAGGTGTCTTTCCATGTTGTCACAGCCAAACCAGCTCTTCATGGTCATGTCATTTATTGCTTCCCTTTCCTGCCTCCTCTCGGGTCCCATGTGCTAGCCTTACCTGTCCCTGCCCTAACTTGTTCCCAGTCACATGGAGATCCTCCTTTCCCCTTTACTTTGGCTCTTCTGTTTCCCAGCACGGCTGCCCCTCCCATTCCCTCTGCTCACATTCTTGGGGAGGTGGGATCCACACATCACTCACTTCCCTGTCCAGTCCCACTTCCAGTCTTTTTCATTTCATGTGTACATTTCCCCTCATTGCCTGCCTTGGCCATCCTTAACCTACTGAGCACGCACTTTTTCAAACCTTAGGACCATCCTCAATGCTATCCTCCCTCCTTCCCACCCACCATCCTCCTTTCCCTCTACTCCTTGGGTCCCCCAGCCACTTCCCCAGGCGGCCCCTCACCGGTGCCCTCGGGCAGGGTCAGCAGGCCCTCGCCCTGCACCCAGCGGTAGCAGGGGAAGGCGGCCTCCTCCAAGGCTCCGGGGCCCTGCACGGTGATGCAGTCGCAGAACCAGGCGTTGTCCACCAGGGAGTGGTGTTTGCGCAACTTCACGAACTGCAGTGGCCCCAAGTCTTGGGGAACGTCCTGTTCAATCTCCTCCACCTGCGGGGACCAGAACCCGGTGAGAAATAGTAGCGGGGACCCAAGAGAGGACGCTTAACTGAGGGTGCGGGGGTCCTCTGTGGAGTCCGGTGACATGGCCTCCAGAGACAGCATTGCTTCCTCCCAACACCGTGCTGACTGTAGGTCTCAGACGCCCCATCTCACCGGGAAGACAGGAACTTGGGGCGAGGCCCTGAGTGACTTGAATGGAACGCGGAGCATCATCACAGCCCGGTCCACTAACTGAGCTCTCCCCGCGCCCCGCTCTCCTGGGACCTTCCCTGTGACCATTCATCCCAGGACACTGGCCTGGGGTCACCTGGGAAAGTAGCGGAGTCTGCGAGGACCACGGTGGGTGCGGGAGGGAGAAAGGGGATGAGCCCAGCCCGGCCCTTTCCCCGCTTAGGGGCCGGCGTCCTAACTCCTGGAAGTCCCAGTGGGCGCGTTCGCGCTGTTACTCGCCCCCGTCCTCCTGCCGTGAGCCCGGCGGGGATTGGGGTCCCGGCTCCCCGCGCTGACCTGGCCCCGCGCCGGCAGCAGCTGCAGCTCCAGCTCCGCCTCCCCGCGCTCCCCCACCAGCCACAGCTGCACGCGGTTGAAGGACCCAGAGAAGAGCCAGGCCCCAGTGGCCACGCGGATGCGGTAGCGGCCCATGGCGAGGGGGAGCCGCTCGGTGCCGCCGGTGTGAGTCTGGATGCCCGGAGGCAGTCCGGCCTTGAAAGATGATGGGTTTGGGTCCCGCCCTCTTCCCTACTTTAAGGCGCTCCCGAGTCTCCGCCCCAGACGAGCCCCAACCTGCCAGCTGCCCAGTAGACGGGAAGGGCAGCGCCTACTGGCTGAGCTGCTGTGGGGAGATAAAGGGGCCCAAAGTAGGGGGCCCTGAGAGCCTCCAGGTGGGAGGGGGCGAGGATGAGGACACACCCCGGGGCGTCCAGGCCTTTGGAGAGCTAGTTGAGGGGTGAGTCGGCCTTCCCTCTCTGGAGGGAAGTTTCCCTTTTGCTGAACCAGGACGTGGGAAGGCGATGGCCAATCTATGGAAGGCCAGCCTGGGAGGCTTCGCTGGGCTGCCAGGCCCGTTACCGTCCCGTAAGTCAGTGTTTCCCAAAGTGTGGTATGCCTACTCTCAGGGGTACGGGAAGAGTTTGGTGGGAGTTTGGTGGGGATATGCACTGCACCGTGCTTAGCTGCGCCTAATTCTACGTTCTAATGAGTACGAGGGGTACTCAGCGTTACGAAAATTATAGAAGGGGTACACATATGTCAAAAGTTTGGGAAACAATGCCCGGCATAAGTCTTCAGTTCCTGATTTCTACCGCATCTGAGCCCAGTCCTTCCATAAATGACCAGAGGTTGCCAGGCTGCCTAGGACCTGGAGAAGTAGCAGCTCAAAAACTTGCTCCCGGCCTGGTTTCAAGCCTCCTGGCATTAGGGTCCTGGAAAAACCAGCTATGGAAGGAGGCCTATTGAGGCAGACAGAGAGAGCCTCCTTTTGTCCGACCTTCTTCATGGGTGCAGGGACTGGTAGGGGTCCGGGTATTAGGGTGCCGTATGGAGTCACATAGGCACCCAGAATACATGGCCAGTTCTCATGAACTTTGCCCTTTCCAGGTGAATGCAGCCTTTCCCCCTTCACTGTATTCCAGGTAAATATTTATAATGGCCTCATTTTACTGACCATGGCGCCTGCTTCCTCTACCAGAATTCTAAAAAATTATACGTGAACAGTTTTTATTAGGCACAAAGTTCTTTCTTCTTCCCTCTTGCTTCCAGGTTCTTCATGGCACTCAGGGGAGGAAACCAGGGAACAGGAGTGGGACAGCGCTGGCCAGGGCCTTGGTACACATTAGAAAGATGATTCGGGGGCAGGAGGGGGGGGGGGCGGCAATGTTAAAATATGTACACAGATAATAATTTAATAATAAAAAAAAGATGATTCAGGGCTCAGGCTTTGTCATCCACCCAGCAACCAGATGAAGCCCCTTGTAGGTCCCTAATCTAGATCTTCTTGGCCTAAGTCACTGTAAGCTTTTGGCTCACAGTGAATATGACTGCTGGCTGGGTTAAGCCAGGGCAATGAAATCTGCTTTCTTGAGCCAAACCCTCAAAAATGGCTTTATTGTTTTGGATAAAAAGGATTCTAGTCCTGCCCTCCAGACTCCAGACCTCACGGAAGTGTCTGATCCGTACTGGCTGCCCTTCCCCTTATCTTCTAAGCCCACTCCTGCCTACATCCTCCGTGCTCTGGACTAGTATCAGCCATATGCTGGCCCCCATTTCCTTCAGTTTTTGGGTCACTCTATCCTGTCCTATGCGAATAGATTGGCTCACATTCCCATCCTATGCAGGAACTGAATCTGGCCTTTCCACACACACCCTTCAGGGGTCACTTTTGCCTAGAAAAGAGAGTTTGTCTCCATCCCTACTTCCAGAATCAGTCCATACATCAGCCTGCTTCTCTGCTGGTGATAGATACCTTCTCCCCACTCTACTGTGCTATGAGGTCACACGGCAGTGGGGGTTGGGGATGAATACCAAGAACAGTAATCCAAGTTATTGCATGAGTTAAATGAGTTAATGTTTAAAACCCTTAGAACAGTATGTATTTAGCTGCTAGTATTCTTTAACTAGAGGCCCAGTGCATGAATCATGCACTGGTGGGGCCCCTGGGCCTGGCCTGAAGGGATCAGGCCAAAACCAGCTCTCTGACATCCCCCAAGGGGGCCTGAATTTCGAGAGGGTGCGGGCCAGGCTCAGGGACCCACTGGTGCATGATCAGAGCAGGGAGGGGCCGCGAGAGGGTTCCAGAGCACATCTGGCCCATTTAACCTAGCCAGACCCCAGCAAGCTAACCTACCGGTTGGAGCGTCTGCCCCCTAGTGGTCAGTGCATGTCATAGCAACTGGTCCAATGATAGAACCGGTCAAACACTTCGCACATTAGACTTTTATTATATAGGATTTGCAGAGTGGAAACAATTCCCAACTAAATGCCATCATCACTCCTCCAGAAATGCCTCTGCCTTTGCCACCACATACTGTTTCTCCATGTCCCTCCACAGGTCCCAGCCTCCCACTACGAGTCTTATTACTTCAGACTCTTCCTCCGACTTCTTTTTCTCTTTTCCTTTTTAAGCACACACATTATGTTGGGGGGAAATAATTAAAAACAAAATTTCCCAACCCAGAAAATCCTCTCCATGAAGGCAATAAAGAAAGAGGATGGATTTATTATTGAGTAAGAACGAACCAGTGTGCTGTGCATCATAGACAATCCACTAAGAGATTGTAAAGACAGAGAAGCCTCACCCTTTTATGTAGCCAACCAGGCACAACAGTATACATGTTCCCAAGATAGACAATAACTGTTCCTCAAGCAGGGGCTTGATGCCACCACTTGTCACACATGGTTCATTCCAACTTCACCTGGTAATTGGTGACCATCTGCATAATTAATAGGCTTAATAATAGGAAACACAAAGCATGCATATATATATATATATATATATATATATATATATATATATATATGTATGTATTTTATTGATTTTTTACAGAGAGGAAGGGAGAAGGATAGAGAGCTAGAAACATCGACCAGCCGCCTCCTGCACATCCCTCACTGGGGATGTGCCCACAACCAATGTATATGCTCCTAACCGGAATTGAACCTGGGACCTTCAGTTCGTAGGCCGATGCTCTATCCACTGAACCAAACCAGTTTCAGCAGTCCTTATATTTTTATGACAAGACTAGAGGCCTGGTGCATGACATTTGTGCCCTGAAGGTGGGGTTCCTCAGCCTGACCTGTGCCCTCTCCCAGTCCGGGACCCCTTGGGGGATGTCTGCCTGCCAGCTTAGGCCCGCATCCCATCAGACATCCCTCTTGCAGTCCAGTCCAGAAGCATTGGATTTATCTGAGGGTCCTTAGCACTGCTGCAGATACAGGAGAGCTCCCACCACCTCTACGCTTGCCAGCCCTGAGCCTGGCTTCTGGCTGAGTGGCACTCCCACTGTGGGAGTGCACTGACCACCATGGGGCAGCTCCTGTGTTGAGCGCCCCCTGGTGGTCAGTGTGCATTATAGCAATTATAGGTTGTTCCACTGTTCAGTCAATTTGGCATATTAGCCTTTTATTATATAGGATATAGTTTTGCAACTTAGAGCAAGGAGCCCATCTCAGTTAGGTTCCCACCCACTCACAGAAACTGGGAGATAGGGCTGCTGTCTTCCTAGATTTAAAAAAAACTGGCTCCCAGGTCCTTAGGAAAGACATTCCTGTGGCACAAAACTGACAAGAAGCTTATTTAGCTTCTAGAAAGACCTACACACATTTCAAAGAGACAAAGAACTTATAGTTACAAGTTTGCTAAAGTAAATGCTCTAAGAAAAGGGAGGGTGGGGAAAATCTATATTTAACAGCGAAAATCAAGCCTCCTATTTACCATGTTTGATTTGTCTTTACACTTAGTGTTTTCCCTTATGTGAGCCACAGGAAGGATTGAGGGCTTGACTTTCCTGGGCCTTTTGCAGCAGGGAAGCCCACATCTGCCACATGTGCACGCCAAAATCCCTTTTCTGCAGACTCCCTGGGCCCTGGTCTCTGTGCCAGTAAATGACTCCCACATTCTCATTACCTCTCTTTGCAGAACAAGTTAGCAGCTGCTTCTTCTTCTTCTTCTTCTTCTTCTTCTTCTTCTTCTTCTTCTTCTTAATATACTTTATTGATTTTTTACAGAGAGGAAGGGAGAGGGATAGAGAGTTAGAAACATCGATGAGAGAGAATCATTGATCAGCTGCCTCTTGCACACCTCCTACTGGGGATGTGCCCACAACCAAGGTACATGCCCTTGATTGGAATCGGAACCCGGCACCCTTTAATCTTCAGGCCGATGCTCTATCCACTGAGCCATACCGGTTTCGGCAACAAGTTAGCTTCTTGATCAAAGTTGCTCTCACTGTTGTTTCCCCAGAGGGTATGGCTGAGAGGAATGGACCTTACATTTTATAGACAAAAAAGATTGTTAGCCTTCGCTGGTTTGGCTCATGGATAGAGTGTTAGTCTGTGGACCGAAGGGTCCCAGGTTTGATTCCAGTCAAGGGTATATACCTCAGTTGCAGGCTCCTCCCTGGAATGGGCCTTGGTCAGGACTCCTACAGGAGACAATCAATTGATATCTTTCTCTCACATTGATATTTCTCTTTCCCTCTCTTTTAAAAACAACAACAACAACATCAACAAATCAATGATAAAATATCCTCTGGTGAGGATAAAAAACGATTGTTAAAGTGTTTTTCTAAACACAAGAATAATTTTATCCCCTTCCTTTCTCCTATGCCAACGTGGCTGCAACTGCAGCCAATTTAGAGGACAACTTTGTTGTCCCTGCCACATGAGCGTTTGGAGCCCAGATTTGGCATGGGGCCACATTAATTTGCATTTGTTTCTTGGGGCCAAATTGGACATACAAACATGAAACTTCAAATTATGTAAATATAGGACCTGATTTCAGGGTAGAAACTGTATCTGTTTTTCCAATTAATAATTAGAGTGTCCACTCACCCTACTCGCAGGAAGTCCATCCAGCACTTCCCTCTCTGACTGCTGTTACTTGCTTCTGTACACGTGCAAAGGTATAACCGAGCAACATTATCCTGCAC